ATATATGTATTACGTAATATGATCACGTGTCTCAGCATCGCTTCCATTTGAAATGACTTCCTATTCGCCGACGCAGACCATATTCTTTACTCTTTTCTCTAAATTCTCCTTCCTACTTCACTTCTCAAATTTAATATTTAGTTGCAAACCATGTGGTATGTGGTAACAAATAATAACAATTCCGTTAAAGATGTCAAAATGCGTAATAACAACGCATGCAATTGAAAAACACAATAGTTTCTCGCATCAAGGGACGAAAATGATGACGATGTAAACTTACCTTTTCTGATTACACAGAAACTGAGACATAACGTTGGAACGCGATACGCTAATAAATTATTGTGTTCTACTATGCTGCTATTTCTAAATATAGTAGAGGTGATTGCTCTTTATTCATTTTTGACAAGAAAAAACAGTCTTATTTTAAAGTTTAAAAGCCTAAAATATGAACTTGAACGACGACACGCCACACATCGATGTGCAAACATATTGTAAATATAGTATTAGATCAAATTAAATTCCGTCTTTACTACTGCATGGAAGTGTAAGAGGGATTACATCAGAGTCTGCCACGCTACCGTATCACAGTTTTGTAGATTTTACAAGCTAACGCCTAAACTAAAACATCAGCAAGACGTGCAGCAAAATGCGGCGAGAAGCTTATGACCGATCGAAATGGATACTGCCCTCTGTCCCATGCAGGGGTAAAACATTATAATGAAATTGTACTTAATTTAAACAAATATCTATCTAGATATTGATCTTCTTAAATCCAGCCTGTCAACACAGAGATATGCAAAAATATGAAATCTAAATCGAGTGAAGTCGAGCTACATGGGGCAAATCAAGCTAGTATCTTAATTGTTTGAAATTATTATCATTGCATAAGTAGCTCAAAACATTGTGTTTATTCATAATTATCAATTCTGTAGGTAGATTGGATAATATACTTACCTGCTAATCTGTGTTTTCTTTTATAATTATTTCTTTGTAAATTTATTTATTACTTGGGCATGATAAATTCATGTAGAATTATGCAAATAGAGTTATAATCTCTGTTTGTTTTGATAATAAACAAGATTTACTGAAACTGTCGTTGAAAATCTAAGACGATCCTAATTCATCCAGACCAATTTATCGAACCTTTAGAATGAAAGTGACGTTACTCAAAATTCCTGAGACATCAGATTTAAGTATAAACGGGCCTTAAGTCTAATTTAAAACTCTGTCGAGAGAAAGATTACAAAGTATGAGGAAGAAAAGGACTAGGCTAGTGGCTGCTATATTTGAGCAGGAAATTAAAACTTTCTGTCGAAAGGCTTTAAAAGATCTTTTCTTCACCTTCCACTATACTTAAAACCCTATTAAGTCACTTTATTAACTTTAAAAAAAAATGTACTTGACCATTTCTACACAGCGAGTATGATTTTTGCAAGTTCCTACCCCTCATCCACTATTCTACCAGTCGTGGTTTCCTCAGTTGTGGCTTTGTTTCTGTTACAATAACATGTTCTTTATTGTACATTTCTAGAACTTATGACATAATCGATTATTATCATTACTTAAGTGTCAACAGCTACTTTGACAAGATATCGTCTTTGTCAAGACATAAGCTATCAACTTAATCAATCAAATTTAATATTTATCCATTTGACTTTCAATCGTAATATATTATTTATCTGCTACAATATTTACATAAAATCGAACGGTAATAACGAGCAGGGTATTCATTATGGAGTTTACAAAACAACACACCCAGCGTTTGTTGTAGAGCTAAATCTTAGAAAATTTATAAAAAGTTTCTGGAATTTGGTCCTTGTGGTGACGGATTTAGAATACGGAGTGTCACCACCTTTATTCATCCCGTGGGTATCGTAAGAGGCGACTAAAGGAGGTAACGCAGGTCAGCCAGCATTGCAAAGAGAAGGAAAACTTGACTGAAACCCTATATCAACCCGTCTGGCCAGCATGGTATACCAGGCCAAAACCTCCTTTCTATAGGCTGTTGATGATGATGATGATGATGATTCTGGAATTTTGCAAACAGCGGTCAAGCGATATATATTTATCTGAAAATATGATAAATCTGTGATAGTAACAGTCAAAATCAAATCAAAACGTCCATTCACATTTGACAATCAAATCAAGCATCGAAAATTAGTTACTTAATTACTTTATAGTTACTATGGGTAGATTGTAAAAACACGCGGTGTTGCTATATCAACAACATCACCTGTTTTTATATCTGAATAAATATGACGTTTTCGATGACGCATAAATCATTCGAGTAGAGGTTATCTTATTGATTTCTGATAAGGAATAAATTTGTAAGCGGACTTTAGAGGCAGATTGAGACCCTTTAGTGATCTGATTTCTCGTGAAACAAATGAGATCGCTAAAGTAAGTCATAATTTTTTTATTACTAAAAAATACAATCAAGTTGACTTTGTTGCCCTCCAAGAGCCTACTTGAAGACACACTGAACTACGGAACTACGGTACTCTACGCGGTCCAACAGTTGGTATATTGTATGTATATACAATACAATATACCAACATCAACCGTTGGGCCGCGATCTTGTATCTACTCGTTACACTTACAACCTCGTTCTATTGGCAGGACATGACCGTTTCTCCACAATGGTGACCCCTTCATTCTTAAAAGCAGCTTTCATCGTCACAATTTTGTAGACTCCAACACCGACGAGAAGTAATTAAGTCTCAGCTAACAAGCAACCTTGGCCTCAAAAAGGATACCTCGCGCCTGCAGCGACCGCTTCTACCTGTTTATCCCTACAGCTTCATCAGCGCTTAGCCACAGCACACTGCTCCTACAGTCCAAGTAAATAGAGCATCTCTCTCCCGCCTACGCAGCAGTCAGCCACAACGCTTCCACCGCCTCGATTTACTGGAGGCAACACAGCAGAGCCGCACCGCACTCAGTTCCGACTCACTTAAATTGAACTACTCTCTACTTTCTATTACTTTGTACTTGCTTCAGCAGTACATGTACTAAAATTGGAAAGAGACTCACTACTGGCATGCTCCACAATAGAGCATAAACAGCTGACTCATCATATATAGACCACCAGTCTTTGGGGGGAGTGGTGGCGACTTCCACATACATGAAACAAAAATAATTTCAGTACCACCTAGCGAAAATCCACCTAACTATAGAGTAGATACTAACCGTGAATACCTTCGTCTTGTTAATTTGTAATATTTTACATTATTTATTTCTCATTATCTACCAATGTTCGGTTAGTTACAGTAGTAATTCTAAGTTCATCCTTCAACTTTATTTTACACATTTAATTATTTAATATTAATATCATACATTTATTTAATGTTTATTTTTAAAAGAACGTTATTTATTAAACTTCTTACAGTCAGGGTATACAGGTTTATATACGCCACATAGTAAATAAAATATCGCTTTTGTTCCTCTACAACAGTGATTTTAAATTAAAATCTTTTATTTTATTGAAATTGAAATTCATTAAAGCCTCTCAGTGTCATCACCTGTTTCTTAACTTGTTGAAAAGTAGTATTATGAGATCATAAAGTCCGACAGGACTCTTTTGAGAACTGTCATCCATTTGGGAATTATTGAACAAGGACTTGCTTTTTATAAAAGCGAAGTCATCGATGCCTCGTAAACTGAACCAGAAAGATCTTATTTGGAGAGGATGCTTCTTAGCATATATTGTGTAGTTTCTCTTGAAAACTTATAGACTATTTTTATTTCTCGGTCTATATTTTTTACAAATCGATGTTTTTCCATATGAATTCTTTGAATGGAGGTCTTGCTTATGGGAAATTTGTCGTGTTGAGTGTAAATGCCTCAATAGGCTACTAATGAAATAACAAACACAGCCCGTGTTTATACTTAACTCCCGTCAACTGACACATATCTTAATCTGCTACCAACTTTGAAGTGTTAAAAAACTTTTTCATTGGAGTGTTTGATTTAGGTGCCACATTGTATCGTTAATCTAATCCATTACTTTAGAAATAGAAGATGAATTAGCTATGCAAATGCAATATGCAATATAAAATGCATCTCTAGTTGCTTCGACGTCACCTTATTGGTGACGTCGAAGCAACTAGAGATGCATTATAATTAGACCCACCTTTTTGATGCCTCGATGTATTAAAGGCGCAATTTCTCTTTGTTGTTCAACTTTTTGTTCACTCCAGCTTAGTAACCAGATCTGCCTGGCTCTCTATAGCGCTCCAAGAAGATAATTCAGTTATTTTTATTACTTGAAGTGCAGAGATATGTGCAATGCCAAACAAATTGTCAAAGTTTATAACAAACACGTCGACTTTTCTCGAATATGTCTTTACCCGTATTTTTTTGTAAATCTCTCCAAACTTAGTATAAGGTATATAGTTATTACTTATTTTTTAATTTAGTTCGATAAAACTTTAGTTGGTTTCCGCGCCTTTTCCTAATAATGATTGCAATCACAAATAGATTCACGCTTTCATTGACACTTAAATTAACTTCACGAATATTATAGAACTGCCAACACTTCTCCAATATAGTGTAATTTTATTTTACATCCCATTAATATATCCCTTTTTTAGAACTGCATAATGCGATTGCTATCTTGACTGAACGAAAATGAGTCTACTATCAAAATAAACAACAATAACAAACACTTCGACTCGTTAACTCTGACGCGCCAAAGTATGCAAGTACTGTGATGTATTGATGCAAATTGGCACGGATAGCTTTAGTTCTAGACACATAAAATTTTAATTACAAGTATTTTGACACCATTCAAATATAAATAGAATATCCTGCGTTGGAACAAAAAGACTTTCATTTTCTTGGGACACCTTAATGTACGTAGATTATTTTAATGAACTGATTACAATCAGTGTATTCAAAAATAAGTTTTCAAAATAATTAAGATAAAGTTATAAAGATAACAAGATTATATAAAAATAAAAATGTGCCACAGCACATGAGACACATCTTGGGACGACGCCATGAAGGCCGCACTGGTGTTTGGCGGTTTAATAACGCGTTAGTGACCTTATAGTACATAAAGTAAAAAAATTAATTTGTAGCTAAACCATGGCTCATCCATCATCGATATGATCTTCAAACCTTGAAGAAAAGAGCGTACTCCTTCCTTAAAGGCCGGCAACGCGCTTGTGACTCCTGAGTTGCACGCGAATATGGGCGGCAGTAGTCACTTTCCATCGGGTGACCCGTTTGCTAGTTTTCTCCCTCTTCCATAAAAAAAAAAACATAACTACATACATCATACAACCAACTGACGCTCACGCAGTAGGTAAACCATTTTTTTTTGTGATTACAGTTTGTGCAAGTCACGTCATTCTCAGCGTCCCAGGGGACAATAGCCAATATGTAGAGGGTGAAAGCCGCTACATTTGGATGCCAGACGGTGAGGGAAAACCTGTTTTGGTAGATCTACAAGAGCCCGTTAATGATATGTTCTTAAACAGTAGACACGGTGCCAACAATCGGTACTGGCTTTTTACTAGGTAAGTAACATTTCATGTACCTTTTTGTAATAATAAACATTAATAACATTAAGTTTTAAACGTAAACTTTAACGTTGTGCGTTTTTGGTCATTATCAAATAACAAGGATAAAATGCGTATTTTGTTGACGCGCTACATAAAGAACTTCAAATTAACGACGACATGAGGAGGACTACTTAACACTTTACAAAGACCTAAAGCGAGCTCAGGTACTCCGTAATTCGGTGTTTCTTCGTTAGATGGTGTTGAAGTATGTTTTCAAGTCGTTCGTAGAAGTTATCCCTCCTCCCCTCTAAAACCAGAGGTGTTGACTCGTCTGTGTCTCAAATTCAATTACTTTATTTTATAAAACTCGGCCACGGCCTCGCACTTAAAGGGGCCTCACAAGGCTCCTTTAAATTTGATGCCCTAAGACCTTACTACAGATGACTAATTATTTTTTTCACTTTTATTCTAAACGGAACTTCACAAAATTTTCGGGGTCCCTCTTAAGTACGACTGTGAGGCCGTTGTAACTACCTTTAAAGACCGTGACCGTTAGATTGACGAATTACGAGACTTGTCAGAAATTCATAACTATGAGTAATTCGTTAGGAAAAGTGCCAATGAAAATAGGTCCGCCTTTTCTTCCGTTCGGAAATCCCCACCGGACGAGGAGGAGGTCGTTCAGCGATGTTTATTGTTAAACTTATTAAACTTAATTGTAAAACCTAGAAAGGACTAGTACCCTAGAAAGGAAATCCCTGGTACCCCGACGTATGTTTGGCCATCTACGGTGGATAGATGACCCCCTCCTGTGTGGGAACCCCCATGTTCCCTTTGTGCTCCCTTTGTGTGCTTTTGACCTGCACGCGCTCCGCAGCGCGTCTCGCCGCCACCCCGACCTGCTTCTGCTAGAGTGGCAGATGGCCTCACCTGTCACCCCCAGGCCTGTGCTTATGGAGGACGGAGGTCGTTCTGAGACCTCCGGCGCCTGAGTCGTCTGCGGTATATGACCCGTTCCTGAGCCTGGCGGGCTAGGAGAGTTCTAAACCTCTCCCGGTCCTGCACCGCCATCTCCTTCGCAAGCATAATTTGTTCGCAGAGGGAGACTTATAATAGTTACACTGAATTAAATTAATAGGCATTCTAAATTAAAATTTAAAATGATTCTATATCCAGTAATACCCATTTTTGTCATTATTAATGATTTACAGCATACATTCCTTTATTATAGACTAACGAAGGTGGCTGTCGGATGATTTACAAAAAACCAAAATAATTGAAATAAACATTGATTTTATCAAAAAATATAATATTAACATAACAAATTCAATTCTATGTCTAGAACGATGCTATCACCGAACTATCAGCTCTTTTATTAATAATTAATTATTTAAAATCAATTGCTAAATTGGATGCACATAAAAGCGGATGACCTGAGAAACGAGGCAGAGTCACAAAGCAACGCAACGACTCATTCTATCCTACTCCGGTAGTAAAAATGTTGTCCCACCAAAAACATTTTCATGTAAATAGTTGCCAGGACGCGACTCTACGGCTCGCACTATCAAAAAGTTTTCAGATCTCATATAGAGTCAAGTCTTACTCTACACGCCCCAACTTCACAAACTCTATACCTTAGTATAGAGTTTGACTAAGGTCAAAATATGTGACTTGGCCGTTTCGTTACTACGAGAACTATTTGTATAACAGAAAAGTAATGACCAGCCTTTCACCTGACACCCATGTTACGGTGGCAAAACGGCCAAGCCACATGTTTTGACTGAGGTGTAGAGTTTGCGAAGTTAGGACTGTTTGAGTTAGGAAGTGTAGAATATGAGCTTGGCTCTACATGAGATCTGATATTTTTTTGATAATGCGGTCATATGGTCTCTGGCTGCATTTTACATGAAAGTATTTTTGGTGGGATTTCATTTCTTTTTGTAAGTTGCTTATGACAATATTTTTTTAAATGTACATTTTTTATTTATTTTTTCAGGGTGTATTTCTTGCACATCAGAGGTGCCGTTATTCAGAGCTCACTCTATATCTTTGCCTTTTTATCAATTTTCAGACCTGTTGCATCAAAATTTGCGACAGTCTGATACAAACATCCATCCCTTAGTTTAAGGGGTTGGGGGTTAAAGTTCCAAAATTTTAAATTTTTTGTTGTTTGTGTACCTACTAATACTAGCTTACATACCAAATTCCAGCATTCTAGGACTTCGAGAAGTATCCTAAGAATTTTGATGATCATCAATCAAATCAAGAGTCAATGACAACATCGGGGTTTTTAGATATGAATGAAAACTACCGTGTCCCTATTAATTTCGATGTTCTGTGTGTACGCAATGTCGATTGGTCTATTTGCTTTGAATAGTGATGTCGAGCCTTCTCTATCGAGTTTATTTGCGAATTAAGGTACCTTAAGTTTATTCACACAGATCTGTAGCGAGATCTGGCAACTCTAAGAGCGAAGAAAATATATGACATAATACAAAATATTGTACATAACTCTAATTAAGTTACGCTTTTTAAAATCGGTTAGTTTTCTTTGAACTTCCCGGTAGCTGCTACGGAGTTCGGCTAATTTATCGTTCCACCAGTCGAGTCCACTATCTAGAGTGTTAGTGATAGAGCTGCGACCAGTATACATATCAAGACAGTATAATAATATGCAGGTATCAAACAGCGTAGGGGTGAATAGCGTGGAAGTTTGTATAGGGAATCAATAACCGCTTGACCGATTTAGATGAAATTTGATTAAGACATAGGTTGGTTTTTATCTTAGAAATAATCCTTTAAGGTGGTGAAAAGAGGAGTGGAAGTTTGCATGTGGAATCTCAAAAACTCAGTAAATCAATCATTTCTTAACTAGGAAATAAAAATCATTATTATTTTACTTTTCTTAAGATGTAAGGAATTTTACTGCATTTTTAGAACTTCAGTAAAGCCACTGTTACATTATTACAAGCTGAGAATGTTCAGATCGAAAGAAAAAACTGACTGATTTTTAACGGGATAATTCGGGTAAAAGTATAAGTTTAAAAAAAAAAATACTTTGAAAAAAAACGGTTCTCGGCAAGTTATTGAAAAAAAATTGAACAAGTGCAAAAAACTATCCTATTGTAAAAAAAATTCGTCGCAAAATATAAAAATGTAAAAATGAGTCATCATCATCATCATCAACAGTCTTTAATAGTCCATAGGCCTCTCCTTAGAAAAAAAAAGAGTGCTTCGGCAGAACCGTGAGCGGTCGGTAAGAAAGCTTACAACGACATTTTAAAAAAATGGTAAGTATTTTTCAAACTTTTCACCAACTTCTTTTTACAAAATAACAGTATTGAAAGCTATAATTTTTAGCCCCGAACGGATTTCCTATGAGTCACACAATGTGAGAAAATGAAGGGTGAAAAATCGCGTTTTCTTCTTTTAAAGTCTCCAACGAATTTGCCTTCAGCAACTCTTATTTTTTTCGTTTTTTATCATAGTACTAACTACTATTTATTGTTTTTTCATAAAAAAAACCTTGATTTTTGTCAATAAATCGGTTTTTCGCAACTGATCGATATTTTTGATTAACTTTTTCTTCATGCTAATACTTTTAACCGAGTTATCCCGTTGAAAAACCAGCCACTTCTTTTTAGTATGTAGATATTTTGCGCCGCACATCCTGTAGTGCATGTAGATAGAGACGGTTCGAATAAGCGTTTGTTTTGATTCAGTTACATATTTCAAATTCCTACGTATATTATTAATGCGAAAGTTACTCTGTCTGTCTATTACGCTTTCACGGCTAAACCACTTAACCAATTTTAATGAAATTTGGCAAGGAGATGCTTTGATTCTTGAGGAAGGACATAGACTACTATTTAACGGGATAAATGACATATACGTGGACGGAGCCGTGGGCAAAAGCTAGTCGCATATAAATACGAAATCTTTAAACATGAATTAACCTTAAATTTATTTTTTTATAGGAATAATCGAAACAGTCATCAAGTCATCATAGATCGTGACGCTAACTCTGTCCGAAACTCTAATTATAATGGCAATCGTCCATTGAAAGTTATAGTTCATGGATGGAACAACAATGGAAATTCGCCGATGAATCCCCTAATCACATCAGCGTTCTTAAATAACCAAGATTGCAACGTGATCGTTGTTGACTGGAGTGGACTCGCAAATCAGGGCTACAACACCGCTGTCAATGGCGTCCCGAGCGTAGGCCAACACCTTGGTAACTTCCTCGTATGGCTCATCAATACAGGTGGCGGTAACTGGAACAACGTGCACTTAGTTGGATTCAGTTTAGGTGCTCACATAGTGGGTATTGCAGGTCGTCAGGCCGGTGGTCGGCCCTCTCGTGTAACCGGTGAGTAAACTTATGTTTATAATCCAATCCCATCATCCATCCATTTATCATTTAAATGATTGACCACAAATAAATAATTACAGCTAGTGTACTTTACAAAATTAATAGCCAAAAAAATTTCTTTACAAAATCTAAATCTTTAAATAACCTTTATTATCACCACTATGTTTCAAACACGTGCAGTGTTGAATCATTTATATAGTACCAACTAATTACCGTGATATTCTTAGGACTCGCAATAAATACCATTTTGAACCATCGAGTTGAGTTGATCAAAATCAACATCAAAACTTCATCATCATGAGCCTTTAATAGTCCACTGCTGGGTTATTAAATCAAAGTATTTTCTTAACTTATACAGAACTAACTAAAATTTCGAAAAATAAGAAATATTCCACATGTTTTTTTTTAATATTATAAACTTATAATATTATAACTTTTTGGACGCTTCTAAACCTGATTTTGCACTACTCCTCTATCTTTAATGTCTTTGTAAAAGACTCTCGTCATAAAATAGGACCATCCCAGTAGCACGTCGCAGTTTCAAAAAATCACTGATACAGTACAACTTTGTAGTTGGTATAATATTTCAAAAGAATTATTTATTTCTAGGTCTAGATCCAGCTGGTCCACAATGGGGTGGTAACAGTAACGCTCTTAACCGTAACGCTGGTCGCTACGTAGAGGCTATCCACACTGATGGTCGTAAGTTAGGTATTATGAACCCAATCGCTAATGCTGATTTTTACCCTAACGGAGGAAGGCACCCTCAGCCTGGCTGTGTGACAAGCCTTTGCTCTCACGGACGTGCGACTGAACTATTCGCATCTACCGTGGGCTACAACCGCCATGTTGGAAGACAGTGCGTGAATTTGGCTCAAGCAGAAATTTCTGCCTGCACTGGAGCAAGTCTAAACATGGGTAACGGCATTGTCAATAAAAATGGGTAAGTTCTGCAAAATAGATGCATATTAATATTGATATGAAAACTGGATTAGAGCGAAACTTTAAATTAAATTCTTTTGTTGCAGAAACGGTATCTTTGGTCTCCGAACAGCTAATCAGTGGCCTTTCTAAAGAACAAAGATCTGTGTTTATTATGTTATTTGACTAAATAATAATATAATGTTTATATCTTTTCAAACATACATGTGGTAAATAAAAAGTTTGTGTTCTTTTATTCCTAAAATATGTTTACAAGATTTTTAACTCAGCTATTTTAGTAAATGTTGTCGGTTTTAAACATCATCATTAGTGTAAGAAGATTATTCATACATTAACATAATAATAAACCCTTTTGAAAAAAAGTTGAACCGACTTCAAACAATACTAATAAAAACCAACTAAACGCACTGTTCCAATAAGACAACAAGATTTCGTAAGTTAACAGAAATATCGTCGATTCATACAATTTTCAGATTTTTGATATTTTTTTAAGAAATCGCTTGGCCGATTTCAATAAAATTTAAATGGGACCACCTGGGAAGTATACACTTTAAAACAAAAAAAAATGTTTCCCAAATCGGTTCAGGCGTCTTCGAGTAATTGGTGAACATACATTAAAAAAAAGATTTAGACGAATTGAGAACCTTCTTCTTTTTGGAAGTCGGTTCAAAACGAAAGAGAATTTATATTAATCAAAAAAGAAAAGATAGAATAAAACTTAACTTTTTTATCTAAGCACATCCTTCTATTAGAAAACGAAATTAACACTTAAAGAAAGCGACTGAATTCAAAAAAAAATAACAAACTTAATTCAAATAACTACAATGTATCACATTAGAATTGACAATGTCAGCATTATAACATAATTTCATACCAAAACATGCTTTTATGAGTCAAAAAGAAAGAAATTAGCCGCTACCTATTATCATTTCAAGAAATTGTTAATTACACCAGTCAACACGCTTTTTTGCCGTTATTCTAAGTATATATTTTCGGTATCACATACCGAAAATATATACTTAGACATATAAGTATTAACAGAAAAATAGTTTAAAAAGAATATATTACATCAAAATATCTAAATAAATTATAAATTTGAAATAATATATGACAGTATGTCCAAAAAAGTATCATAAATTGGCTATAATAACAAAAATAAGACTGGTACTTGTTAGTACACGATAGGTATACTCCTCTCACATTTCATTGCGTAATTGTTGGTTTATTAGCGTTTATTAATATTGCTACAACAACTACTGTGGTTAACGGCGTTCTATTTCTAGTGGTTTTTAACGGGTTATGGTTGGTTGTGACAAATTATTTTAGGTAATTATCATACATTTTGGTTTCAAAGAAGTGTTCTAAACATACAGATTACAGATACATGCATAGAAATAGAGAAGGTTTTCTATATAAAAACATTATTTTCTAGACTGAGTAAAGCTAAACTATAAGGAAGATCGAGAAGAATTCTAATTTTATTACAAAATTAAGACAGAAGACAAAAACGCATACCTTTCTTTTGTTGCTGTTGTTAATTAACGAAATTATTCTATAATGTAATAATTCACCATATGTAATATTTAATGCTGTGGCTTAAGGAGAAGCTTATGTCTGGCAAAGGACTACTAAAGGCTGTTGATGATGTGATTATATCACTAATAAACTCATTAGATCATTTCAGTGTCTGTGAAAATGTGGCCATGTAAGTAAGAAATTGTGGTGATGTGGCCATGTAATTAGGGTGGTGTCAATGTTTATATTTTTTTATTTCAGTGAACCTGAAATATATCTCTCCAATAAGTTAGTAGTACCTAATTATAATCTATTTAGTTATTTAGAAGTAGATAAATTAATTTCTAAATGAAGTAAGCCACATATACGTATTAAATTTGATAATTCTCAGACCCAGTCGCAGGATTACCATTCGATAGTCTGCTGCCATATTGAGACACAATATAAAGTAATTTACCAGTATTGTCATTTAAGACTCACCGCTAACGCAGAACCTGTATTAATTGCGTGAAGTGCAAAACATTAATAATCGTGTACTCATATTGTACCGTAAGTGAAATAGTGTGTAGTTAAAACTATTGTCGTTATAGGTAAAAAAATAAAGTTAGGTAGGGTGTAATAGAATAATAAAGCAAATCAGGTGAATACGTCCAAAGGACTGCTTTGTCGCTAGACGCAATTTCTAAAAGGCATAACATTTGGATAGACAAAAAGATAAAACTAGTTATCGGTACATATTACACAATCGATAATAATAAAAACAGTACTGATATAGGAGATATTTTAATTTTGTCTAAATAATCATAATATTATACTTCTACGAGGATGTATACTTGTGTAGCATACAAAATTTAACATACTTAAAAGTAAATAATTTAATAAATATGTGCATACTATAGCCTTTTCTTGAAAAACAAATTGTCGTCTGCGGTATTTTTGGACCGATACAAGCTTCAAACCTTCAAGAAAGAGCTTCAAGAGTTCAGAATACATGTGTTAAATTCCTATTTAGTTATTATATTTTCTGTAGTGAAATACTCGTAGTCAAGATCTTGAAGCCATATTTTTACAGTACTTTTGCATCTTTATTTATTAAGTGAATAGATTGACAGAATTCTATTCACCTTATTATATAGACTTGCTCCTTGAAAACAGAAAAATCTATGGGCAAAAGTTGTGTTGAATTTTATTATTTCACAAACTCTATCTTTTCTACGCAGAGCATTTGCCTGTTCAGGTTTATAGCTAATGAAAGAGTGTTTCCTTAAGACTGTGTAAAGAATAAATAGTTGACGTACGGTCAACACTTTCAGCTCTCTATATAGATCATCGGTAGGATGGAAGAACGGCAATGAATTACCTACTTTCAAAATGGCTTTCAGTAGATGTGTCTTTGACGCACCACCTCAAGAAGTTATGCAATACCCTATCAATGATAGGCACAGCGCAATTTTAAATACAACAATAAGTTTGCGTATTCTAGCTGCCAGAGCGTTAATATGACATTAAAAATGTAGATTAATAATGTATGTCTATTAAAAAGTTGGTCAGAGTATACTTCCCTGGGCAACACCATAATCAGTTTAATAACTATGAAATCCCTTAAGTCATGTACGGCATCAGCCGTGAACATTTTTGATCTGAAGCCATATTGGGCTTGTGCTAGTAAATTGTTACTTTCATGATAATGTACAAGTCGGTGGTTTATAAATCGCTCTAAAAGGACATCATTCAAAATGTACCCAAAAATTAAAGTGCCAGACAGTAAAAAAAAACTGTGTCATCTTACGGCAAATGATCTTTTAAACATTTTTTTATTATTACAACAAACGTCTACGACCAACTTTTAGACCCAAAATGGATCTCCGAAAATCATAAAACGAGCATTTACATTTATGTATCAATTAACTATTTCTGAATAATTAAAAACCTAAACAACGCAAGACCATCGAAATGAGCATGTTACAACCTGAATCGAAAGGATCGGCCAATTGGATCGGCCGTGTACTCTGTCTCGAAGTTATAAATGATAATGAGTTCCATACTTGGACAGGTCTTACACATGCTCAGTTTGCTGACTTGCTGTCTATAACAACCTGTCTAGATAATAATAAAAAAAATATATATATTAGCAGCAGTACTAGTGAAACTCAGAACTGGAGATTCTAACTCTCGATTAGCATCGATATTTAGAACAAGTGAATCCACTTTTGCGCGTATGTTAAAAACTGGCCGTGTGGCATTGATAGAAGATTTTGTTCCGCTGCACCTAGGGTTTGACTATCTAACGCTAGAGGATGTAGCACAGAGAAACCTCATATTACCAGAAGCACTTTTTGGAAAGCCCGATAGCCCTCTATATGAACGAAAGGCAATCGCAATTTGTGATGGTACCTATATATATATCTGCAAAAAAGTAGTAATTACTTTTTTGAGAGAAAGTCATATAACCTGCATAAATTCCGCAACTTATTAAAACCTTTTTTGATAGTCTGTTGTGATGGACACATTATTAACGTATCTGGACCTCATGCTGCTACCACATCCGATGCCCAAGTTATGAACGACATTATTACTAATGAAACTGACAACGGCGATGGTTTTTTTTAATGGTTTTTTAGACAAGGTGATGTATTTATTTTGGATCGCGGCTTCAGAGATGCTATATCACCAATGGAGTCACTGGGATATTCTGCACATATGCCTGAAGCAAGCTCCGAAATGAAACCCAGCTGACAACGATGCAAGCAAATAAAACTCGCCTTGTAACTATCTTACTAACTTGTAACTATGTGTGTGGTGACGGATTAAGAATACAGAGTGTCACCACCTCTATTCATCCCGTGGGTGTCGTAAGAGCCGACTAAGGGAAAAAACTACGCAGCACTGCAGAGAGAAGGAAAACTTGACACAAACCCTAAAAGCTATTACCCTAAGCTAAAAGCTATTACGGCGAGCACATCAATCTAAATGGTGTTTTTACGGTCGAGCTTGGCGACAGACTTTTAACAGAACACGTCAGCGAATTGGGAGAAAACATAATAATTATAAGAGGAAGAGTACAATCTCGGCATGTTCGGGCCAGAGTATATTATGTTTACATTGGCATCGACACATCATTGAGTGGCCGTGATGCCATACCGTATTATTATTGCTCATGCAATGTTGGCAAAAGAACGGTGGGCTGCTGTTCTCACACTATGTGCATAGTGTGGTACATGACGTTCGCGAGGCACCAACAACCTCTCATAAATCCACTTGCATTAGGTTTAGAAAATGATATCGTAAGACCTGCGGAATTATAACATATGAATAAAGCCACGTAGGTAACAAAATGAAGTCTTTTTCTTTACATATATTTTAAAACACTAATACCTACACATGAATACCTACGTAGGTACTTAGGTACCTAATGATGATTGTATATAATAAGGCTTTTTGTCATATTATATTATTATTAAGTGAGATTAAGTTATTCTTTATCATCATTATTTGATTTTTGCTATAGTAATGAAGTAAAAATTGTTCAGACAAACTCGTATAAATGCATTTTTTTATTATTTCTAAGTCATATAACTCATAAGTAATCGGTCTTAGCTCTTAGCCGTCTAAAGAAAAAAATCTTAGTATGTCATTCTCTAACCAATGAAACTACTTTTTTTTTTGGGTACTTTTTGTATAGAGCGTGAATGATGTCCTTTTGGACAAAGTAGATAGGATAGAGATGGGCTTATAATTATTGACACAGTCTCTGTCACCAGCCTTGTAAATCGGACAAATTTTAGATTTTTTGATTGGTTGCAGATGTGGGTAACAGGGTCCGTGAGTATTTTAATATTATTTTTAAGTACATCAGCAGAGATACAATGTAGGCCCACGACACAGTTTGCCTTAAGATTTTTGATACGAGAACTAACCTCTTCGGAGTCTGTTGGTAGCATAATGAAGGAATGTGGGTTAGATTTTAAAATATTTGGTTGACCTTCAGAGTATATTTTTAATTTTACAGGTAAATTATTGACAATGTTTGCAAAGAAAATGTTCACATTATTTATAGCTGATATCGGATTTTGTTAATCTATTAATTCTGCGGTAGTTTCTTTGTGTTTGGTAGTATACGTGATTTCTTTTAATGTCTTCTATAATTTATTATTATTGTTTTTACTGTTCCGTAGCTGCAACTTTTTATATTTATTTTTTGTTTCTTTAATTAAAGATGAACAAAAGTTCCTATATCTTTTGTATTTAGTGCGTAGGGTATCGCTATCTGGTTATCTTTTAGTTTTTAAGTACAAGTTGTCGCGATTTTTGAGACATTTAAGCATACCTGGTGTGATGCATGGTATATCTAAAGATTTGTCTATAAATACATGTTTTTGTGCGCTTACATGGTATACGCTGGCTAAAGCTTACGAGATAAACTACGAAATTGTATATCTTAAAAAGATCTACAAAAAGTCCGCAATGCTAAATGTCTATCTTCTAATGATAATATTATATAATATAATGATATTTTTATCTTTTAAATATTACAAAAAATTATAGGTTATTTACGAAGCTATTTTAAACAATACATTATCCAAAAAAATACGTTAGATATGTTGTGCATTTAAAGTAGATTGTAACTGCTCTGTACAGCATATCAGTAACATGAATATTTTAGAAGATATTAGAGGTTTAAAATACGGGGGCAAAGCGGCCGTCTAGCCGTACGTCCGTCCCGGGTAGCAGCAGACGGCGAGGAGCGGAGCAGCATCGGAGCGGGCTTATAATAAATATTGCATTTAAAGATGTCCTGTAGTATATTACAGGACATCAAGGGCTATAGCCCTTTCATAATAATAGTATAATGAATTACTCCACACTAACACCACATCAGTAGTATCTACATTGCACACGCAAAGCCTCGGCGGATCACTAGTAGCAGATAAAAGTGTCCCATAAATTAACTGGTTGTAGTGAAATCGCAAAGAGAATTAAGATAGTGCTATTAGTAGATAACAACACAATATAAAAATAGAAATGTTTACAGCACATAAAACACATCTTGGGACGACGCCATGAAGCTCGCACTGGTTTTCTGCGGTTTAATAGCGCGTTAGTGAATCTTTTTTTTCGTGCGGAAATCTCCTCGGTAACCCACAAGTGACCCACAATGCAAAATTTAAATTTTTCGTTAAGCCACTCCTCATCTTCATGTTTAACTACAAATATCATATAACCAATATACCGGTGTTACATTACGCTGTTAACCAAAATTTTTGTGTTTTCAGTTTGCGCAAGTCACGTCATTCCCAGCGTCCCAGGAGACAATAGCCATTATGTAGAGGGTGAAAGCCGCTACATTTGGATGCCAGATGGTGAGGGAAACCCAGTTTTGGTAGATCTACAAGAGCCCGTTAATGAAATGTTCTTAAACAGTAGAAACGGTGCCAATAATCAGTACTGGCTTTTCACTAGGTAAGTTACATTACATGTACCTTATGGTATACGAATAACTGTCATTAAATTTTAACTTAAACGCTGCACTTCATATTTTTAATTCGTGTGTAAATAAACCAAACCAATCAGTAAAAACCAAAAGAGAAATAACTTCTCGTCAAATTCACATATACTAAATGTATATGTAATATAAACCGCATACCGGGTTCCGTCTGGTAAAGTGGTTGGTTCATTATTGTTGTCTAAATCAACGGCCTACATGAACCACCCTCATTATACACCTCAATGTTTTTTAATCACGCATGCAACCAGAACTTTATGAGAATCAAATGAATAAAGGAGTTGCCCATATTTCTATGTACCACCGAAGCGTCATATTTAATTTTGTTTTTTAGTGAAAATTAAATAAGAATAGTATATATATAATAAAACAAGAATAGTAAAAAAATGAACAATAATAAATTTACACATTTCACACACGGCAGTCTGGTCTCGAACTAGGCAAAGCCTGTACCAGTGTAACCAACCTGCTGATAAGCCTACTTATATATTTCTAAGCTTTTCAAAGGAAATAGTTTAGACGTTAGTTTTAAAGTCTGCAAACTGTCCGTCAAAAACGGACCTAGTCAAAAGTAGTACGATGATAGGGTTTTATAACATAAATGTTATCTTTGTCTTGCGTAAAGCGTTTTTCCGCTCGGCAAAATTTGCCCAAGTATTTTCATTAGAAGATGCTAACATCAATAAGTCAAACAATAATTAGGCATTTTTCCGATTATTTATAATCGATGTCCTACCAGTTTCAAAATGTACCCTCCAGTGGTAATAATTTTGCACAAAATAATTTTATCGTATATTAATATGAAATCTTTAGTGATGTTTTTTTATTTTTACAGGAATAATCGTAATAACCGTCAAGTTCTCGTTAACAATAACGCTAACTCTGTGCGTAACTCAAATTATAATGGCAATCGTCCATTGAAAGTTATAGTTCATGGATGGAACAACAATGGAAATTCGCCAATGAATCCCCAAATTACATCAGCGTTCTTAAATAACCAAGATTGCAACGTGATCGTTGTTGACTGGAGTGGACTTGCGAGTCAGGGCTACAACACTGCTGTCAATGGCGTCCCGAGCGTAGGCCAACACCTCGGTAACTTCCTCGTATGGCTCATCAACACAGGTGGCGGTAACTGGAACAACGTGCACTTAGTTGGATTCAGTTTAGGTGCTCACGTAGTAGGTGTTGCTGGGCGTCAAGCCGGTGGTCGGCCCTCTCGTGTAACTGGTGAGTAAAGTTATGGTAATAGTCCAATCCCATCATCCATCCATTTATTATTTTAATTGTAGCACAATTTTTAAAATACAACTTTAACGTTAACCTAATCAATTAATACAGTTTTAAGTTTATCCTTAAAACGTTCAATAAAGACCACAGCTTTTTTCGCCTTAAAATATGATCATCCCAGTAATATGTCACAGTAATGAATAACAATTTGATAAATCTTTGTGATATTTACTGAATATACATTGTATTTGATGTAATATTACTGAAAAAATACTTATTTTTAGGTCTAGATCCAGCTGGTCCAGGTTGGAATACTAACAACAACGCTCTTAACCGTAACTCTGGTCGCTACGTAGAGGCTATCCACACTGATGGTCGTAAGTTAGGTATCATGACGGCAATCGCTAATGCTGATTTTTACCCTAACGGAGGACGACATCCTCAGCCAGGCTGTACATCAAGCCCTTGCTCTCATGGACGTGCGCCTGAACTGTTCGCATCTACCGTGGGCTACAACCGTCATGTTGGTAGACGTTGCGTGAATTTGGCTGAAGCAGAGATCTCAGCCTGCGCTGGAGCAACTCTAAACATGGGTAACGCCATTGTCAATAAGAATGGGTAAGTTCTGTAGAATTGATATACACAAATATTATTATAAAACCTGGATGTGCATATAAGTTTGAATTGAATTATCTTGTTTCAGAAACGGTATCTTCGGTCTTCGAACAGCCAATCGATGGCCTTTCTAAGGAACAGAGATCAATGTTAGTCGTGTTATTCAGCAATATGTAATAAATAACTCTTCTTAATACAACAATAATGTTTATATCTTTTGTCTGATTCTAAACTAGTTAGAGCCTGTGCTATGGTAATCAGACTGCTGATAAACATACTGATATGTTTCTGTATAAATACATATTATAAATAAATTACACACAGACATAGAAGAAATAAATAATATACTATAAAAAATAACACATCTGACAGACAGCCGTCTGGTTAAATCTTCTATGTATATCTATCAAAGAAGAAACTGACAGACTGATTCACTGACTGGTCGATCAAAGCAGAGCTGAATCCGATAGGTATTAAATTTTGCACAAATGGTTCTTAGGTGACGTAGGTGTGCACTAAGAAAGATTTTTTTTAAAATTTCACCCCTAAGGGTGCAAAATTGGGGTTGTAAATGTATATGAAACTTCGTTATTAAAAGTAGTAAAAAATGTTGATACAAATTTTTCAAAACTACACTTAGAAAGTTTGAATGGGGCACTATTTTCTTTTAACTAGTCTATATATAGTCAGTTTATAATTATATATATAATTATAAAATGACTGACTGATTCACTGATTAATCGATGAATGCATAGCGAGACCACTGGATCTAGAAGCATGAAATTTTGCATAAATGTTCCTTAAACGATGTAGCTATGCACTGAGAAGAGATTCTATATTATTTCTGGTTATAAAGAAATGGACCTGTGTCTAATTTTTTTATTTTTTATTTACGGATCTTCAACAAGAATATCACATAGCATTCACAAAGAAAAATAAATTGTAGATCTGGTGTATCCTTAATTACAGAAGATCACAGCCTGCATTAAAAGGTATAATGGTTTTGCTAAATTTTATTTTAAAGAAATCACGTGGACACCTGCTCCTGAAATAGTAAGGAGCTTTTATTAAGACCTTCGGACCGAGATAGAATGAAATTTGACTTAACCTTTTCTATTAGAAAACAAAATAATTTCTTAAAAGAGTTTAACTAATTTCAACAAACATTAACAAAAGGTAGATACTTAAGTGAAAAATAGCTCGTTTCGAGTAAAAAAACATTAACAAAAGGTAGATACTTAAGTGAAAAATAGCTCGTTTCGAGTAAAAAAACTATATATGACACTTTCAATATATTAAAAAAAAACGTTTATGCAGGTATACAAGCTAAGTGCCTTTTGGTCTGTTATAATCACAAAACATTTTTAGGTGATATCAATGTAAATATTAATGATTATAGGGGTACCTAATAGGTGTTATAATTGATTAAAATACGAGTATATGTCTTAAATGGTTCTATTTTCAAATGTGTCGACTTTACCTTAATTATTTTACTGTAGGACAGCTATTTTTAACGTCTCTGAGAAAAAGAGTCAACACAGACAGACAGAAAAGCAGTCAGATAGATAGGCAGGCGGACAGACAATGAAGTGCAATCACTTGATGAAGGAAACCCTGAAAAGAAAATGTTTAAGTAGTGGTCTATAGAGAAATCAACGAAATCACTCACTAACTTTAGAGTCTGTGTGCTGTGGCCAGGCAAAAACCTCGATAGATAATATTTTAATAAATTGCTCCAAAATTTTAACTCCAAAAAGTATGGTTAATGAAACAATTGGTACACTGACGTCTCAAGTACCTAGAATGTTAGTTTTCCTACAAAATCCTTTATACCATCTACCATCATGAATTCAAGCCATAAAGGGAAGATCTTCCTTCTCCCACCATCCGATCTCATTTTTAGTGGGATTGCATACCACAGATTTACAGGTTGGACAGCGAAGAAAGATCCTCGCCGTGTTAACAGATATATATATATATTTATTAAGTCATTCATCTCAACAGCTTCAAGTTGGACAAAGAAAAAGACCATAAACCTTATGCAATATAAATACATTGCATAAGGCTACAGAAGCAGATCTTATTAAAATAAATGAATAGTTAGTTATTTCGATCGCCGATTCGAAATATATTGTAATCGTGAAATTGTTTATTTTTGTGAATACAATATAAATACAATAAAAAATTTTTTATTGTTTATGTTTTACTGACTATTTATATGTATTAATGTGTATTTATGTAAGTATTGGTGGGACAAACTGCATTATAATCAACTACTTTTGTTGTTTACTTTTTGTCGAAATCAAATGATGTTTGCTTTATAAATATTTTTAATGAGTCTTCTACATATTTTACACCAAAAGTACCCATGAATTCGTATATCTACAGTCGATTTCTTGATCCACGGTTTGCGTGTAAGAAATTGTTTTTAGGTGATAAGTACATGGTCATTAATTTGATTTACTCTTGTATATATGATTTACTAAACTGGTGTACAATGGAAATTGTCACCACCCCAATTCATCCCCACGGGATGAATTGGGGTGGTGACAATTTGTATTCTTAATCCGTCACCACACGGTACATACATATAGTTTATGCATATAAATATCATAATAAATATCAAAATATATTTAATACAATACAATAATAATACAATAGAATACAATAAAAAAATATATATAATACGATACCTATATAATATATATAATCAAAAATTTTATTGGATATTTTAAATACTTTGTATATTATTTATATATAGCTATAATATTTATATTAAATTCGTACTTCTCAAAATACTTTTACCGCTTTTGATATTTAAAGTAAATTAACTAACTAACTTTAAAAAATATGTCTACTTTTATTTTAGTGAAGGTTGAAATTTGTGATTCTCATGAATCCGTAGACTCAAGAGATCACTCTTGAAAAAGCATTGTCTATTGTTATTTTAGTTCACTCGTTACCAAGACCACATAACTTCGCCAAGTAAACGAATAGGACAATAGATCTAATCAGCCTCATTAAAAGCCTATCAATTTCAATAAATTTCTTATTATTCTTAGCCTATCAAATTTTTATCTTTAAAAGCATTATATACACGCAACTTAAAAAATACTTCTAACTATTTTCTTTTTTTCTTTCTTTATTCTTATTTCTTTCTTTTTCGTAACCTTTTTATTTTTTTTTACGTGTGGAAACCCCCTCGGGCCGTCACCCCACCGGGGTTTGCGGCGAGGTGGTGTGTCGGAATCGGACCGACTAAAACCACACGGTGTGCCACTCTGCGCCTGTAATAGGAGGGATCCGGGAACTGCTGTTATTAGGACATCCGGACCCCTCCTAGCGCCTGCCCGGTTGCAAAGACAGCACGTGGAGCCTCCAGCCGGGACGACCAACGAGCCATCGTGGCTCGACGCGCGGCCTCACGCCACTCGCGTATCTCTTCGGGCGGGGGCCGACTGTCACTATCCGCCCGGTACTCAGACCTCCGCCGATATACTTTGGCGAGCACTTCCGCCTCCAAATCCCATGGGGGAGTACCTCCGTCGAAACAATGCGGTAACCGCGTATGGCTCTAACCGCCAATATCTTCTGAGGGTGCCGGAGGCGTGCCCTATTCTGGGTGGTTAGTGCCGCCGCCCACACCGGTGCACTATACAGTGCCATTGACCGGACAACCACCGTGTACAGCCGTCTCGTTGCGACGCTGGGGCACCCAAATTGGGTAAATGTCGCCCAAGGGCAGACGCAGCGCCGATCAGTTTTGGAGCAAGCTGTCGGAAGTGCTCGTCGAAGAGCCTTCCGTCAAGGATCAGGCCCAGATATTTCATTTGGGCCTGAACCGGTACGAGGACCGAGTTGACCACGATTGTGGCGCCGGGGGTGGACCACGACGGGGCCCATGGAATAAGAGGGCCTCCGTCTTATCCAGGGCCACCCGTAAGCCCAGCGCCTCAATGCTCCCGTCCACCAGAGAAACTCCCCTGGTGACCAGGCGCGCCGCCTCTTGAAAGTTCGCCCCCCGGGCTGTAACCAATGTATCATCGGCGTAACAAATTACACCCAGGCCAGGGGGAAAATCTACTCGAAGGGCCCAGTCGTACCCTATATTCCACAGGAGTGGTATAAGAACAGACCCCTGTGGAACACCGCACGACATGGGCCAACACCTCAGATTACCATATCGGTCCTCGTACACGACGGTACGCTCCTCTAAATAGTCTGTCACTAGCCGCCTCAGGTACTTTGGCACCCCATGATAGTGGAGTGCTTCCCTGATGCAGCTGAATTGCAGATTATTGAATTCGTTGGCGATGTCCAATGACACCACCAACAGCACGCCACCACACGGTCGGAAACGCCCCGCTCGAAAACCGCATCGGGGCCCACCTCGTAGGGCGGCGGACTATGCGGGCAGAGAGTACCCTCTCAAACAGTTTACCCGCCTCGTCCAGCAACATCTCCCCGAGGCGATCTGACATGTGATCGAGAACCCGGGGTCGAAACCCAGCCCCTATGTCGACCTCCTCGGTCGGTGCCCAGGGAGACAGCCAGGAGTGAATTATGGCTGCCTCCTCTAGTAGGTCCCGGTTCAGTCTGGCAACAGCCCACCGCGGAAAACGGGAGGAACGCCGCGCCACGTGACTGGAATACTAGGTCCGGAAGCACAAATCGAATATAAAGATGATCCGAGAGCGTCTCAACCTCTTCCAGGACACGCATTTTCCTTACTCGTGCGGCGAGAGCAGGGGTAGCGAACGAAAGGTCCACTATCGACCCCCCTGCTGTCACACGCACGTGTTGGTGGAGCCTCTGTTTAAAAGACAGAGGCCCACCGAGGCCGCCCACTCCTCTACGGCCTCGCACCTTACGTCCGTTCTGGGGGAACCCCACGCAGTCCCCCAGAACAATTACGTGCCCAGACGCTAGTCGCCGCATCGAGGTCTCCAGGTTGTTGAGGAAAACTTCGAAGTCGCTCAAACTCCGGTTGGGGGAAAAATAATCACCATATATGGTGATCCCCCCCCCTCAATTGGCGGTCTTTTTTGTAACCTGTAATAACCTAAATTTATGTAAACTTGTTTAAATTGACTACAGTGCATAAACACTGTAGTCAATTTAAACAAGGTTGATTCGAAAATTACTTTTTAATCTAAGGTGGACATTAAATAACCTCTTCTTCTGCACTTCAACAATTTATTATATGAATAGGCTTTAGTATCTGCAAACCGAACTCAACTCATATCTCTTTCACTTTCAGTGATAGGTTTCACGTTCGTTGTGATAGGTTTCAGTTCGCAGGCTTCCTGCAACAATAAAATACCTCAATTAATCATATTGTATCTCAATTAATGTACAGCATATATAATAATACTTGTTTGATAATATAATTATCACAACGAAAACAATTTAAAAGTAATGATCATTCGTAATGTAAACATGTTGTTTTGGCTTTATTATACGTCATAATACCCTTGACGTTGATACTATTAATTTGTAAGCCAGAGGATTAAACATGACATTATAAGCAATGCCGATATCGAACGAGACAACTCAGACATCAGACCTGTTGCTATGAGACCTAGTAAACACGGCATGGCCGGCAGCGATAGTTGTTTTACTACGGTCGCATCCTTTTCCGAGGAAGTAATTTCGCGAAAGGAGGCGGCGAAGCGCATCCGGGAGGAAGAGCTCCCAGTGGACCCGATACGCCGCGCCGCACCCAGGGCATCGAAGGCGCGCTCATGTGCGCCTTACGCCGCCCTAAATGTGGCCGCGGGTGGATGATACGGGTTATATCTTCTCCTGTCCCGTCTGCTCCTTTACCCCTATATACCATAAAAAAAGAAGTGACGTTGACACGATCGTATAACACAAACAATCTTCGAGAATAGAGAGTAAAAATAAACAAAGATTATCTGGATTGGCCGCAGTGGTGCCCAAAATCTCCTGGGAATTGGAGTCGGAGTAATTAATTGAATGCCGCATAACATTAAAATTAAAATTATGAGATATTCGAAACTAGGAATAATGGCTTTCACATAGAAAGGTATACTTAAAAACAAGAAAGTAATACAATACAATTGAGACTAGAATAAGACTAAAAATATAAATGTATAGAAAATCGGTCTTTTGAAAATTTACCTTATTTGGTCCATAAGCTCTAATAAAGAGTTCTTCACTGGGATGTGGAGGTTCTTTGTATAACCTTCTCAGCTGCGGCGCTAGTAGCGTTGGTGATGGGGGCACAAAGGGCACTCCTCGTGCGCGGTTGATCCTCGATACTATTGCACCGATGCAAATTGTTACTAACATTCCCGCCAGTGTATACCACATGTAGGATACGCGGAGGACTGGATTTACTTCATCTCTATAAAAGAAAATACACTATTTTCACCTGGGAATAGTAGAGAACCCTACTACCTACCTACAATTAGTCCCGCACGGGTGGCGTAGTTGTTTAAGCGGTCACCACACCGCTTACTACTAAGCTGAGTGTTGTGGGGATGGGGACGACACTTTGTGTGATCCACAAATAATTGTTCTAAGTCTAGGTGTTCTTTGTGTCCCTTTCATGTATGTTTCTAAAATCCCCCGCGACACAGAATAAATTCCTAATGGGGAAATTGTCTTTTAAAAAAATAAAAGAAAGAAAAATAAAAGTTGCTCATAAGTGAAATAAATTATCGAACTAATTTATTAACCACGTAATAAATACATAATATGGAAAGCATATGGACACTATATCATACCTATAAAATAAAATGCATTTTATTTTAGAAAAGACACGAAAACAAAAAAAAAAGCTTTTTACTAAACAATACGAACTTTTCACTGATCAAAACCCTAAGAGGTCAAGCGACCTTGAAAACTGCATTTTAGATACGCCAAATAAATTTACATATACGTACAATAATAATTAAATATAATATAATAATTTTTACAAATTCATGGACATCGACAACCGTAAATAAGTCGAAATTGTTTGGTTCTTGCAAAAGGTGCAAACTAGTAAAACATTTGAACGATAACCCATTCAATCGTTTTGTTAAGTTGTTTAAACACAGAACATGTACTATTATACAAAGGCTTACCTGTATACGTAATGATCACCGATATTGTCTACTGCAGTAAAATTATACTGGCAGCCAACAGTTGTGAGGGACTTGTGATGATGAGTGATTTGACCGCGGGCTATAGCCAGTTGTGACGTGAGACACCACCAAGACATCACTGCTAGACCACTTACACCACCTATTAATGCTCCCTACAAAATGATACATTATAGTCATATGGGTAGTCATATACTAGTTTTATGTTAACTTTAGTAATAAGCTTTATAAAAGAATCCGATGACAATAAGATGTAAGCAAATCATATACAAAATGTAACCAAGACCTTATTCTGCAAATACATTTTATTATTCAAATTCAAACTCAAAATATCATTATTTCATAAAAAAGAAATGTCGAAATCGTCTTGATTTATTAATAATAACACATCTCACACACGGCAATCTGATCCCAAACTAGGCAGAGCCTGTACTATGGTAACCAGACTGCTGATAAACATACTTATATATTTCTAAATAAATACATTTTATAGATAAATTACATCCAGACAAAGAACAAATGATTGGGCTCATCACACAAATATTTGTCCTGGGTGGGAATCGAACCCACGACCTCCGGCTTAGCAGTCAGGGTTACTAAGCACTAGACCAATAGGCCCGTCAAAATTTTATTAGTATGCATAATCAGTCACGACGTGGGTTTTTCCTGGAAAGCAAATATGATTTGTAATAAAATAATATAATTTGTAATGTCATACAATTTGGATATTGCTCCAACTGTCTGACTAATCGGAAAATCAAATTTCTTTTATTTTTTTTTTACATGGTTTTGACGAGAATAAATCATACCAAATAAATAATAATAGTAAATAGGAAAAAAAATTAGCTCACCGTAGCATCAACCCCGGGCAAGAGAATGCCCATAGTAAATACACCCAACTGCGGACCCATGGTCATTGATTCTAACGTCATCGTCAACTGTAAGATTGTTCCCATCTTTTCGACAACGAAAACTAGACCTGGAATTACATGCTTGTTAGGATACATGACATTCAAAAACTAAATAGCCATAGCCAATAAAAATAGCCATGGGGAAGATCCATGTATTGACGCATTGAATCAAACTTCAAATTTATAAACGTTAATTCATCCCCAACATTCAGGCTCCGTGACATTCAAAACTACATTTCAAATAGGCATGGGGAAGATCCATGTAAGGAGCATTGAATCAAACTTCAAATTTAAAAACGATATTTCATCCCCAACATTTTAATTGTAAGTTGTCTCCAAGCCCTGGGTAGACGGAGGAGTACGAGGAGGAGGTAGAGTTAGTTAGTTAAGTTTAGCTCGGTATAATAATTACCCAGGATGTTATTATAATTGTATAAATAAATATTTACCTACACAAAGGCATCCTAGAAGTATAACGACTCCTCTCATCAGCCAAGCTGACTGTATATCCGACAACTGTTTGCTGTAGTAGGGCTTGTAGAAATCCTCTAAAACGACCGCTGACATTGAGTTTAAACTAGTTGACAAGGAACTGGAACAACAATAAACCAAATATGCCTATGGATTTTTTGCATCCGAAGAATAAAATATTTAAAAAAATTCAATTAAAATTGCCTTTTAAAAAAAATGACACTTTTTTTTTCATGATAAAAATTAGATGCTGTCACGCGAATAAAGATATATGTAAATCAAATTCAACTATTCCTTATTAACTGTCCTTCCCTGGTAGTGAGATAACTTTTGCTACACTGTCCTGCCATGTAAAAAAACTGCCTGCAAAACTAAAGAGAGCGCTGCAAAGAGAAGGAAAACTTGACACAAACCCTATGTCAACCCGTCTGGCCAGCGTGGTATAGTAGGCCAAAACCTCCTTTCTAAGGAGAGGCCTATGTTCAGCAGTGGGCTATTAAAGGCTGATGATGACGACTTCCACACGTTACTAAGAAAAAGGTAAATAGACGGACAACGAAAGCTTGGTTTTGCCTTTTGAAGAATGGAACCTAAAAGTATGAAACAGGAATAGGTCAGACATAGGATTACCAAATTACATCAAACATTCAGTTTCGAAAGTTAAATACGTTATCAAAAATTTACAAACATGATTGATGATTGACAACATGTAAGGCTTACGTTCAAGATAAAAATGTTTTCTGTAGAATCAACTTGATTCACTTGATTAGATAGTCACAAAATTGATTGATCGAAATAAATAATTACATCATTATACCCCCAGTACACTCTCGTCTTTACGTGATCTTACTAGTTACTATAATAGTATTTACTTTTATTTTTAATAACCCTCTCTCACTCCATTACTCATTTTATACTTCCAACTTTTATATAGTAATCACAATAGATTCGTTCTTCCAAAAACCTTGTCCTTTGTTGTTCACTCATAATTCTAAGTTTGTCTGCTCATGTTTTCCCTTCAATACGTTGTTCTTTAAAATTACATTCCCCGCGTATTCAGGATGGCTGGCTAAATATTATTTATTGAGATTAAAATTAAAGCAGTATCTTATCAAACAATTGGCAGAATCAACTTGCCCTAGTCCTCTAATGTTGTTAAAAGTCTATAGGCATGTGTATATTTGTATCATTACGATGGGCAGTAAGATTTGATGTGTGATTTGTATACCTATTTAACTATACTTAACTAACTAAAATGCTCCTAATCCTGTGATTATCTGGTAAAGGAATGCCGAAGGCACAAACTCCATCTACGAATCTGTACTAAACGTGCATAAACAATAAATAAAGAAACTATTTATTTAAAATCTAAAGGATTCTGTCTATACCATATCATTCCATGGCAATTAGGTTAAAGGGCTCGAAGTTCCAGGCAATAGCCGATTTAAGTTACAGCTGCGACCGTGACCTGCTTCAGCTATTGCCTACATGCAATACCTAATGCATCCGTGTAAGCAATATGACTTTTTCACTATGCCCTTTCCTTCTCATCTTCTTTAATCCTCTCATTTAATTACTAACGTTTGCAATTAACGGCAATATGCTTATCCTCTGTTACGTAAGTGAAACTATTATTAAAGTTAGCAAAATATGAACATTTAATATATCTCTGCTTACCCTTTTGGGGCGTATAAGCGTGAGTGTATGTTTATTTATTACCAATACAACGTATTAACAACGCCTAACAGTACCCGTCGCATGCGTGTATCATATACATATATCCCTGTGGTTATCGTTCTCTTGTTTGTAGTTGTTCTCTTTTTGATTGAAAACGATTTGAGAGAATTACTTTCTATGACTATACGATGAATTAGTTAGAAGATGCAGTCTTTACGGCGACAATCATAGGTATGCCCCCCTGGAACCCTGACTATCTCGAACTGTCGCTTGCATTCCCCCATCCGTCTACATAAACAATGTCCCTTTCCTATTATTGACTGCTGCCTTAACTACTTTTCCTTTAAAAATGAACTCCTTATTGCCCATCTACTTCCTAAAGTTGCCGGTGAACGGCAAATAGGCTTGACGTAGGGGTCAAACGGTACGTAAATGAGACTTAAAAAAAACTATAATTACCTAATACCTATATAAAAACTATAGTTACCTATTTGCTGATAAATTGGAGTGTACGTATTATGTGTTTATGATGGACAATAATTTTTATTCCAATATTGCACGGAAAATTTGTGAAAAAAAACAGAAGACGATTACGAGTAGAGGGTGTTAAGTTTTACAACTTTATTTGTCTTTTTCACTCTAAAAATAAATGCCTAATGGTGGAAGTATTCAAACGGAACTAATACTTCAATTAAAGCTACTCTCCGAAATTTAAACAAATATAACTAGTACGAAAAATAAATAATAATGTTTATTGTGCCAATACAAATACAATATGTTCAACATAAAACCAATATAAGTTACACATGAGAGAGCCTCAGTAAACTTGGTAAAAAACCTGTATTTCGGCTCCCGGCGAATAAATAGCTATTAGAGTTACCTCAATGCTGCACTGAAGATCCCTGCTATGAAGACTCCTGGCAAACCTGGAATACCACCGAGGACATCCATCACGAGGAGAGGAAGAAGTTGATCTTTTGCTTTTGCCAGCTAGAAATCCAATAAAAACCTTGACACAACAACTAATTGATATATTCACAAGTAATTTTCCATTCGTATCAAAGTTGGAAGCAATAAAGGAATAGGGGGTTTAGCCCAAGATCATTCTTGCAGAAAGATTCAGTATGTATCTAAAAAAGTCTTAAGAATCAGAATTGTAGTTACAATACTTATGCCTAGTAGTAGAATACTAAATAACATTTAACATTCATTTTTTTTAAATATAAAATTTGCTGCATCTACTCTCACTGCTAACAACACAAAACAAAAATTCTTAACTAATATTTCTTAAGTAAACTAGAATAGTTTCCATTAATCTAGATAAGATTAAGATCTAAATGTCTTTAATTTTTTTGCAACAATAACTAACAGTATGAGGACGAAGTATCGAGACACTGTTTGCATTGGATTTCAGAATGGTTAAATCTTATGATATCAAAATTTCAGGAGTTGAAGTTAGTTAACTATGATACAATATTATTTAGTCACCTTAGTTTGTAAAGGATCGCAGTCGTGGAATCTCGCATAAATTAATAATCCACAATATAAACAGAAACAATACAAGAATGATATTCCAATACAGAATAGGAATACCGCCCTGAAAAACGAAGAAAAAAAAATTGTTATTAGAATTATGATCGGTGGGGAATGGTACTATAATAAAGTGGTCAACTCGCTCTTATGAAGTCAAGTATACATACGGGTCAAAAACGCCATGTGCCATCTAAAATAGTGGTCCAGAGTCTGGCTGTTCTTTGTGTCGTTAATCGAATGATTGTAAAGTCTTTGCGTTCCTCTTTACACATCGGAACACAACACAACACTATCACAAATGCTTCTCAAATACAGATGTTAACCTTATAAAGTTTAATTTCTAGAGATGATTTTACAATTATTTTAAATAGTTCAACCAGCAAGTAATTAATCGAATTCAACTTACCATTTTGCACCATGTAAAGTTGGTAAAGCAAGATATCTTTGAACCATGGTCTGACTTACAGCATTCGCTTGAACCCAGTAAATTGTTCCACCAATTACTAGATTCCAAATGGTATGGCGGGTCAGAGGATTTGGATCCCAACTAAAATGAAATCATAAATACATATAGTTAACGCAGTTTCTTTGTTCATATTCTTGTGGACAAAAATATCCAACAATTATAAGGACAAATTTGTCTCCATATATTCACAGAACAGGAAAAGTGTTAATGGTATTAGAGCATAATTACGATACATAGAGACAGAAAAGCAGAATATAAATATGTACATATATACTTATAGTAGAGACAGTTTTAGAGAAATTAGTTTGAAAGGTTACGATAAAATGTTTTAAGTTCCAAGTTTGCGTAATCAAACCATTACTTTATAAAACGCTAACAATTTAGGGTTGACTTGAGGATGTTTGTGTATTTGCTTCGATCATCGAACATTTTAAGTTGATACTAGAAATAAAGTAGCAAAAGTGTGCGCAAACTATATTATAAAGTAATGTTAATTTATATGGTGGAAAGTAATGTTTGCTGCAGAGATAAACCATAACGGTCTTCCTACAAAGATCATATGATGCAATCTGATTCCTTAACTTTTTTGAGTCATTGATTTAGAGATCTACGATTGCTATTTCTTGTTATTATTTTATTTATATTTTACATTATGCTCACTAAGTGGACTGTAATATTCTTTGAGTATTAATAAAGATCTTTAAACTTAGGTTACAGGCTCCAAAATGAATGCTGACGTTAAATACACAACGCCGCAAATAAACCGAGCCACCCGCTACCTAGGAACTCTGATTAGATTTTCTCAAAAAGTATAAAACTTACAACTATCAAAGTTATACCTACAAAAAGTGCGTTTCATGGTGATTAAAATGACTAAAAATTAATTGGAAAGTACCGTCAACTCACATTGTAATCAAGCAACAAACACAATGCTAACGATTTGCTCTGTTTTCACCAGAGTTTGAAATTAGCGTTCTTTTTCTCTACAATGAGGGTAGTCGGATATTTCTTATCATTTCTTTAGTTTTTGTCCATCGTTTGCTCAGACGCGTGTGTTTTTGCTACTTTTTTCGATTAATAATGGATACAACACCTCAGGAAGCAGCTCAAGCTGTAGCATTGATCGATAGTATAGCAGCAGATGATCGTTATGTCCACCTTACTGTTCTGCGAAATAGCCACCTCAACGCAGTTCAAGTCCAACAAAGTCTGCGTGACGAACGCCAAGTGGTCATAAGTTCAGATACCGTCAGAAGGAGACTTGCTGAACGGAACCTGACCCCAAAAAGAGCTGCAACAGGCCCAGCATTAACGGTAGCACACCGTCGAGCACGACTTGAATTTGCTCGAGAGCATATGGATTGGACATTAGAGCAGTGGAGTAACGTACTCTTCACTGATGAGACCAGGGTGAGTCTACATGGAAGTGATCGACGTCAGAGAGTATATCGTCGCATTGGAGAACGTTATTCTCAGTGTTGCATCGAGGAAACTGTTGCTTATGGAGGAGGATCTGTAATGGTCTGGGGCGGCATCTCGTTAACAGCACATACAGCGTTAGTTTTCATCGAACCGACGGGCCGTACACGTGGACTGACTTCTCATCGCTACATTACTGAAATCCTCGCAGACCATGTGGTACCTTACGCAGGATATATCGGACAGGATATGCAATTGATGCATGATAATGCACGGCCTCATGTTGCTCATGTAGTGACCCAGTATCTACGCGACGTCAGCATTCGTACCATGGACTGGCCAGCTCGAAGCCCGGACTTGAATCCGATAGAACACTTATGGGATGAGCTGAAACGTCGGGTTCGAGGCCGGGTACCTGCTCCAACAAGGCTTCCAGAGCTGCGAATCGCAATTGAAGAGGAGTGGAATACAATTCCTTAAGATTTTATCGTCAGGCTCGTAAGGTCGATGAATACAAGGATGCTGGCAGTTATCCGAGCAAGGGGAGGGAATACGGAATATTGATCAAAAACTTTTTTTTGATTTTATCTTTGTTTTTGGCTTTAATTTTTTTTTTCACTTTATCATTACTAACGATTGTCACGACTGGAAAACGACTCTTCTTTGTAAAATCCTTAATAAGCACTGAAATATTGATTAAACCCAATGAGTTTCCTTTCATTATAATCACCATGAAACGCACTTTCTGTAGGTACAACTTTGTTAATTGTAGGTTTTTTAGTTTTTGAGAAAATCGAATTAGAGTGCCTAGGTAGCGGGTGGCTCGGTTTATTTGCTGTCCAGTGTATACTTATGAAAATTGTTTAGCATCACAAAATGGTGATGAAAGTAGTAACAAACGTAGACCAGTCTTATTGTAATTTAATATCGACCCATTTTTATAAGAATTTTCAAGTAAATATGTTCTTACCCCTTGTAGTTATTTTGCTGTTCGCAGCTAACTCTTTCAAAGTATCACTACTCTAAACTTTGATCGATATCCATAACTATTCACTGATATAGAAATTTAAGTTATAGTTTTTTTATCCCGAGTTCAGAGTCCAATATTTAAGTAACCTAAACTTGTATACTAGTTACATTCTTAATGTGATTAATGATTTTCTAAACATACTTTGGCATTTCAATTCTTCCACTGTCCAAATTCCTCTGCCAAACAACGCCTATGCCACCGACGTCGATCGTTCCTTTTATTGCTACCAAAGCCATGGCGCCAAACATCGCCGTAATTTGAATTACATCCGTCCAGACCACGGCTTGCAATCCACCCTAAAAAGATCCGTTTAAAAAAGGGCAGATTAGACTTCCCTGATATTAACACAGATAGTTTATTTTGAAATACCTGTACGGATGTACTCAGTTAAGGCTCGTGTTACCTGACATACAAGCTAATAAAAGCTCTTCAACAACTTATAGACCAGAGGTTCAAAGACTTTTTTCTTATTAACTAATTACAAAATTTAGCTGGTGGACCCTCTGCTACATTTCTACCATATTCCCAAAACTCAACAAAAAATGTGAAGATTAGATCTATGGCAATTTGTGTTTCGGCTGAGTTCCAACCACCAATGAATAATTTTCGAAAAAAAAGTGAGAATTGATTGGTTAATTAAATAATTGATTGTGCTGTGAGTGGATGTCAAAAAAGTAAAGTTGCCAATCAAAAAAGTGATTCCATTCAACTTTACTTTTTTGACATCTACTTGCAGCACAAGGAATCTTCTAAACGAAATAAGTGAGAATTGATTAATTCCCTCCCCATTCCCCATTCGGAGTGGTAAAAATAAAAATAGTGTATTTTTTTTGTGTTGTATTTATTCAAATATGTAATTATTACACTATTTATTATTATTGTTGTCATATAATGTAATATAATTAAAATTAAACATAAATAACGTAACGTAACTTTTAGAATGATAATCACAAAATAGACAATTTTAATAGGAGGGATGGACTTGAATGGATTGACAGCAAATTTTCAATATCTGGCTTCAGTTTATTAGGAATAACCGCAAATCTCCCCGTGCCGTGATATTCAATCCACTTATTTTTTTGTTAAAAGGTTTGTAATAACACTAAAACTTTTTGCGACAAGATATGGCGAGGAACACGCTATCAAAAGCTTTCTCGCAATTTCCCATAGTCCAGAATATTTTTCGGGTATTTCTGCCTGCATCCAAAATGTTTGATACCCTCTTTTAAATTTCATCTCCTCATTAGTGCTAAGCTCGAGGAGCTCCTCTTGTAATATCACATTCTCCACTTCCATTTTATCACATGGATTTACGATTCATGGTGATATTTCCATCGTCTCCATCTTCAAATCTGATTTTGAAGTCATCGTGCATGGCAATTAAATGTTGAACGTATGTCTGAATATCCTAATCAAGGCATTCTACCTGTGACAAATTGAAAACTGGCAAATTCGAGCCGACTAATATTTTGCTTCATAAATTTAAATTTGCCAAGAAAAGCTGCAATTACACTCTTTGTTTTTATTAAATTGAGGCTGTCCCCTTCTCATTGTAAATTAATGTCATTAAATTTTTTGAACAAATGTCTCATATACGCGATGTCTTCTTTGAAATTAATCAGGTTTTCTTTTAAATATGGATCTTTACTTGCCAGAAACTCTGAAACTGATTCAAAAAGTGAGTAAAGTCTTGTTACTTTTCGACAACCAGCGTACTTCAGTATGTAAGAGCAATCGTTGGAAGTCTTCATCGTTTTCATAGCACAATTGTGGAAATAAGCGCATATTTAACGCATTGCTTCTTATTTTGTTAACTGCATTAATCACAAAAATTGGAGCGATTGGTGCAATCTATCACTGAATTTTTTCGAATAGTAGCTCTTAATAGTAGTCCATAAAAAATACTCCAATAAATATGCTTCATTACCGGGTAAAGTCGTGTCGTGCAGTTGAGTAGAAAAATGAGTCGTTTGCAGATAATTACACAAGAAACTTTCAATACCAGAGATCATTTCATCAATACGTCTTTGTATTTGTTACTCAAAGGAATTGTTTTAAGCATGTCAAATGGAGATTTTTGCAGAACAGTTTTTAAAACCTCTTCAACAGCCGGTAAAATTAACTGCTCTCCAATGGTGTGGTTTTCCAGATTTGGCTTTAAGTAATGAGATATTGTAAGATGCCCGAAAGCCATCATCGTTACTTTCAGATGTTAAAGCGAACATACTGCTCACGGTGGGTCTCTTTTCATATCTTTCCTTCAATGCTTGAAAATATTTCAAATCTTTACCTATTTTATCAGGATGACACCTTTTTAGATGATCTTTGAGCTTCGATGATTTCATAGAGTGATTGCTCAAAACTTTGTTGCATAAAAGGCATATGGGCAATCGCTTGCCTCCTTCGATGGAAAAAAATCAAATTTTAAATAATCAACACTAAACTGTCGACATTCTTAGATTCATGATCTTCTTAGATTCATGTTTCGTATCAGTTACCAACCTGTAAATAAAAAAAAAACTTTGTTTTAATAATCATAAGGCGGTTTTACTCAACAGGATATGGCTATTTTAACAGAATAGGATTACCTAATTAATTATTATAATGAAATAAACAAAGTACGGACAGAAGTTCAACTTTTCTCGGCTTTCTGTTCTTTTATGGAACTATCTAATAATGACTCTGTTCAGTATTTAATTTTTAATACGTACCTACCACAAGCTAACATTACAAACATATGTACTTACCTATTACAACAAAATAAATGTGATGTGAACAAATAGGGAGGTAAATACTTACTTTTTCCGACACTGGCAAACACTAACATCGATTCACTTTACTTACATTTTTTTGTGAAATTAGTAAGTTTATACTTGACATTCGTATTTATATTGGTGAAGAATCAAACAAGTTCATGCGAGATTGCAAGCACACACACCACAAGTCGTATTTCGTCCCTTTGCACGTCTGAACAAGCGTTGCGGACGGCAGCGGCGGCGTTTTACAAACTCTCGACACGTTGTACTGAATATGGAATATGCAAGTTTTTACGGTCGCTGAGCTTCTTAAAATATGATCTGCTTACATTGATAGGTGAAGTCAAGGCAACATTTTAGTTCTTATCTATCGAAAGCAGATAATTTTTCGTGGACCCCGCTTACGACTAGTGAACCCCCAATTTTTTGTCACGCCAACGTAGACATCTGGACTACTTTGGGAGCTAATGTTATAGACCCTTTAATTAAAATACTTACAGCACTTGTGTAAAATATGCACACTAAACAGACTATGGGCGTAATAACGTGAATGTTAACACCAGTAACTGAAACAAAACAAAATAAACATATCCAAAAAGCTTTGTTTCATTTTTTTTTTCTTTGATATACTTACAGTTGTTACTAGAAAATCTATGTTACAAACTTTTATTATTCAGAATTTTATATGGTAACGAAATTTCTACAATAGCCTCCCTGCACCCCACCTTCGGGCGGGCAACGATCTATACAGATATGTATTTACTGCTAAATACTAAGTCAAGGATAACAACAATAAAAAGGTAACTAAAATATTGTGTACAACAACATTGCCTACATATAAATTTCTCATTTCTTATAAATTCAAAATTGTGGTTGCATTGATGTGAAATGGTTCAGCTAAAGATGATAGAGCTACTTATTAATATATTTGGTAAATATCAACACAAATAGTGCTATATACCTTGATTAAAAGCCAATGCTGGAACATATATCACGATCGGTAGCCAACCTATCTGAAAATCAAAATTGATGCTGTTTCATTTTGTACATTATTCATGTAAAAAAAACATTAAACTTTCACTCACCAAAGTAAAAGTAAATAGCAGTGATCCAAATAATCTTACTCTGTTATCGAATCTTAGTGATAAGTACTGAAAGAAAAATGTACACAATACATTAACAATAAATTTAGACTCAGTTGATGTCCCATCTCATACTTAGTATCTTCATTCAGCGGCTGACAACATGTAAACATTTTATTCAATTGACTTTTGAACAGTATTAACAAGTTCAAGCGGTCGCCATATCTGCCCGCTCAAAAATAAAAAAATGCTCAAATTTTTTATAGTCAACACATTTAACTGACCTTGGAATCCCAAAATGAATAATATTTTTTAGAACTTTGATAGACAGAATTAAAAAAAAACAAAATGGCAAACATTAATTAAGGCTTCCACAACCTTCTGGCTATTTTGAAGTTTAGAAGACGAACAATAAAACTACTATTTGAACGGGCACGTGTTCTATGTTAATATGTAGAACAGAAACCCTTATCGGAAAAATACCTTATATCTGCCTCACCTCGTAGTTAGACGTAATCTTCAGTTGGTGAAAAACAGGGAGATAAACTTGTGTCACGATCACAGACATCAGAAATATGCTTACGATGATGAAAGCGTACTGGGTACCGTGCATGTAGACTTCAGTCGGTGATCCAAGCAGAGTTATTCCCGAAACGAAACTGCAAATATCGATATTACTAAATAATAACAAATAATTTGGGGTTCAAAAGTTCGTTTATTTGTTAGATTTTTAGTATGAAATACAAATGTTAGACTCTATCACAGTGGTTGAGCAGTTAGCAAGTGAAGCTGTACCAATTATATCATTATCTTATATCATTGTCGTGTACAAATAACCCAGAATCAGTTTAATTAAATAAATTTGTCTTTAAATATATTATTATTATTAAATAGTTTGTTTAAGACGAACACAAAACAGTAAGACATAAAAGAAATCCTACCGATACTTGTATGAAGTCCAGGCTTTGAGTTTTCTGATTTCCTGGGCTTCTAATAGATAAATCTTATTCCAGATCAAAAATACATAATAAAATTTTTAAGACAGTATTCTTAATAACCGGTAGTTGGATAGTTTTATGAGGTAGGGTTTTAAAGAGACCTGCTGAACGCTATAGTGTAAACCTCCTATTTAATTAGATTAGACTCCTAATCTCGACTACATCAAATTGATAACTAATACTAACGTATAGAAAAACCTTCATCCTCACAGGCTTTAATGTTTTTGCAATGATAAACAACATGTGGCGCCTCCCACATACAAAAAAAAACAGAAACATACTACAGCGTTATCTAACGAAGACACGTCGAACTACGGAGAAAGTCCTGAATGACAATTGCTAATGCTGTATCGCGATATGAAGAATTCTCTAGCCGATTAGCATGTTATACAACTTCCCAACATCACCCGTTCGGCCGTAGCATGCATGATCACCTCGCCTGGTCGGAGGATCCTCCCTTTGTGTTGGAGGGACATGACACCCGTTCCTCCATAGTGGTGACCCCGACGTGATTGGAAGCAGCCTTCAAAAGGAGCAGATCATTAGCAGGACCATCGTGTACACTCCCACAGCGATGAGCAGTAATCAAGTCTCAGAAAGCCAGCAACCTCGCCCACAACAGGGATACCACCTGCAGGTAGCGACCGCTCCAGCCTAATTCCCCTTACGGCCTCATCAACGTCTAGGCACAGCACACACGGTACACACAGCATTTCTTGAATAACAATTGCTAATCCTGTATCGCGATATGAAGAATTCTCTCGCCGATTAGCATATATACAACTTCCCTCGCCTGGTCGGAGAATAATCTTTTTGTGTTGGAGGAACATGACACCCATTCCTTCATAATCATTTTTAAAGGCTCTTTTATAATTCTACATTTGAGAGAAAAAGAACTAAAATATAATACAGCATAGAATAAAGAGAAATTAAAGTACTTGTTCATTTTAATTAAGTTCTCTAACTCACCTGGCTACCAAGGACATGGAAACGGGAATCACTTTCATATTTCTTCCACCCAGAAGATAGTCACTTTGCGTAGTTTGTTTCTTCATAAATCCCCAGTAGACTCCTACCACGGCACTGATGGCCAACATGAACACGAACACCACATAGTCTATCCATGAGAATCTTTGCATCAAGCGCGTTATCTCTGTCACATCTCCGTTCATTTCCCCCATTATAGCTAAATGTTTTAACTTATTAGAATATCATAACAAATTCTTCTGGTACTTTATCAGAATCAACGGTTCCTTTCTATCGAAAGCAAATTCTAGTTAACCCTAGAGCTAAGAACCAGGATAAATAGCTAGTACCATATCAATATGCGTAGCGTCAAATGCAACCAATATTCAAATGTACATATGAGTTCGTCGAGACGCGAGTTTAATCTGTGAGGTACAATGAAACAATTACGATAACTCGCAATTTAAAAGAGGATGTTGCGAGATCGGCCCCCTAACGGCAACACAGGACCGAATCGGGAAATAACTATGTACCTAAAATGTGTGTAGATTGCACAATGTGAAGACTGCTGTATAGTATACGACCATATATACGACAATGGTAAACAGATTTCGTATTACAATAGTTGTACATTAACCTTGCTTACTTTCTTCGGTTGTTGTTGAGAACTACCTTGATATTAACTTTACGAACCGAAGAAACTGTATATTTTCAATACAAAAATCAGGATGAGTCAGCCTTTTATAACATACTAGTATCATACAGTACACGGAATGTCACCACCCCTATTCATCGTGTGGGTGTCGTAAGAGCCGAATAAGGGAGCTAACTACGCAAGACAACAGCACTGCAAAGAGAAGAAAAACTTGCGACAAACCCTCTACCAACCCGTCTAGCCAGCGTGGTATAGTAGACAAAAACCTCCTTTCTAAGAAGAGGCCTATGTTCAGCAGTGGACTGTTAAAGGCTGTTGATGAGTATCATACATACATATTCTATGGTAGACAGTTCGGACTTCCCAGCAACAGCTACTTCAATTTACAGATATTACCCCATAACCAGTCTCCCCAAGCAATACCTATCACTTTTGTTAATTGCCTGCCTTTTTTAACTACTTTTTTTCAATTTATTGGGTAAACAAACAATGTCACAATCAGAAATGGTTATAATAGTGTTTTAAGCTATACATTAGTGATAATTCATACCTTCTGTGTCATTATTCTCTCACTCAAAGTTTTCTTTCCCAAGTCCCCGTTGGCCGCAACAGGCCTGCCGCCTATAACGGAGAACAAGTTGTAACTAGAAAAAAAATGGTCTTTGTTTAACTCTAACGTAACTCTTAAGGGATATCAATTCGAATTCAAAACAAAGATTGTTTCATAAAATGGTTCAACAATTACCGACTTCAAACAAAGGAGGAAGTTCTCTTTTAGTACAAGTACAATATGACCAGGTAAAGTTAAATAGTTTTGTTTTGTTTTTAATAAATAAATAAAGGTTTCAACATAAGTGAAGGTTCGTGGATGTGATCAAACTTAGCGTAGCGGCGAACGTATTACAGTGCAAGGTAATATTATATCAGTATCTCTGGTTCGTTTTTCATTGAGTGCCTCTCTGGATTCGCGGCTTTGATTTGAGGTGTCCCTCAACAAGTTAAAGGTAGAGTGATAATACGAGATCCACTTACCTCTGAATCTACGAGCGTCATCACAATTGAAAGAAGTTCCGTGCCATTGCTATTCCTTGGGGGAGAAGCATACTTGTTGAAAGTAGGGTTAGGTATACATTTATATGGCAACTCTCAACTAACGTTAAAATATGAACATCAATAATGTTCTAATCAAAGACAGGAGAAATGTTACTTGCTCTCCAAGTATTTTGATACAGGACTAGAATCTGTAGAATTTTGTAATACAAACATAAGTAGATTTAACCTTGTTGGAATTGAAGCTATTCTTATAAGAGGTGTAATTCCGTGTTAATTCTAGTGTTTCTTCAAAAGTTATGTTGACATCTTTATCGATGAGACCTTCATACTCCTCCCACTCTTTATAGGTTTTAGGATCTAATTTACGACGATTAATGTTTAACAGGCTCACCTAAAGACTCCAAAGCACGTAGGTGCTTATTAAGTTGGTCAATGAAACACTTCAAAGTAACAGATGATTCTTTTTGAATTGCGTTTAAATTAAACAAGGATGAAACATGGTTCTGCAATAACAACCTTTTGTAATCGAAACGATCACATATTAACTTCCAAGCTATATTGTAACTGCTTGCAAAAAACTCATTGGCATGTATTACAACAGCAGCAGATCCTTCCAGAGACGCTCGCAAATACTGGCACTTATTTATAGGATCAATTTCATCATTAGTATGAATAAGATTGGTAAAAGTGTCACGAAACTCTAGCCAAGTGCTATAACACACATCAAACCTTGGTAACTGTGTAGTAGGCAGTTTTGCGGGTTCACGCTGGCTGAGTACTCTTGTCGTTTCTACACATTGACTCATTTTTGTCATTGTACTTACAGAACAGGTCCTGCGCTCAAGACAGGGCTTCATAATATAGTGACTCGAAATCTGAACGCTCAGAGAATTGGGCTTTGACATCTTCTGTAAAACATTCTAACCGCCACTGTACCTCATCGTATCGCTCATACAATGCCTCAATCTTCTCCATCCGTATTTGCAATTCCCTAACTTTACAACTATCTAACGGCTTGTTTTGTAAAAATTCTCTCTTGGCTTGCTCTCTTTTTAATCAGTTTCTTTTTTTCGAACACACTATGAACCGAATGAAATTCGACTTGAAATTTGTATGATAACAATTTAAGTCTTTATAACTTACGAGAATTTTATATATTAGATATAATATCTTTCTTTCTTTTTTTAAGATACCTTAAGATGCTTTTCCTTTAAGAAACTTGCATACAGATAAAATGTATAAAAATGTAATTACTGTAGTCACAAAACTGTAAATAATTAATGTAAATACATTAAAAGTGTTTGTTTCAATTTATTTTCGTTTTTTTTCACGTAATTTAATCCTCTAATCTAGCCACCAAATTACCAAACTCAAAATTTAATGCAATATAACAACTGATAAAATTGATTAAGTACACAAATACGGTATATTCAACAGAATGTATATTTCATCACACAGCACAACTAACTAATGTGAATAGCACACAAAAAAACTTACTTATACCATTATAAATGTAGCATTAATATATACTATACTAATATAAACAAGTACGTATAATCGTATTTTCCAATAATTAATATTTATCCTGTTCGTATTCTTCACTATCCAGCTCGAAGGACCAGTTTGTTTGGGAAATGTAGTCTTTTTAAGGAAAATTCCAGAAGTACTTAAAAGCTGTGTATTGAGCGATTGTGTGTGACCGACAGTAGAAAAAGTCAACATAAAAAGAAAGGTCCTTATAACTATTAACGGTCACTAAAATGTCCTCGTGTGTAGCCATAAAAATCGAACAAGCGCTGTGCTCGATGTGTTCGAGCACAGCAACTGCTCGATTTTTCCATCAATCGGAGTCGAAAAGCATATGAATTTTCTGCCTGAAATTTTAACATTTTATCAGCTGTCAAACGTAAAGATCATTCCCCATAGGTATCGCACAAAAGTAATAACTACATTTGTATTCTGTTCAAACATCTACTCACACTAACACAAGTTAGCGACTGAAGGGCAGGCACCGCGCGCTTCAGATGTTTGATTAATTACATTGCAGGTTTTGACCGTATGCAGTATTAATTAAATTGTTTTCGGTAAAATGTTTTGTTTTCTCATTGTGATTTAATAAAAAAAATTAAAGATTATAAAAAATGAATGAATTTTAATGGTTTTCGACTTAGAATGATAGTCTGAATGTACTATTTCCGTATTCGTTACGACGTCCCTTGCACCCTCTATATTATAGATAAACAGTTAACATGATTAAAAGCGTTCATCTTCAATCAATTTTATAAATATAATTTTCTTTCGCTTGTGACCCCTGAGTTGCAGGCGCTTATCGGGTGACCCGCCCTCTCGTTAGTCCCCTACATGATAAATAAATTATAGTTTAGTAATCAAAAAAATAAGCTTTTGTAACTAGCTGAACTAAAAAGTAGTACATAATTTTCTATAAATTCAAAAAGAAAAATCATTTTTACGTAAAAATACGGTGGGTGCTATTAGAAAAAGAATAAAGTTATTACATTATGAAATATCTTGAAAAGTACCCCAGGCTTTTTTACAATAAAACTATTTATCTTTTTGAACTCAGAAAATTATTTTCTACTAAGTAGTTCGATTACCTACAAAAGCCAGTTTTTTTATTTTTTTGAACTCATAATTTATGTTTGTTTTTCTAGTCATTAATGATGATTTAAGTAACAAGTAAGTAATATGCTTCAGCATACGCTTTAATACGTGGCTAAAGACACTAAGTAGGTACCGTGTGTTTACATAGAAACATAATAAATACTGGGGATGGAATAAAATCAATCAATCACAATGTGATAAAGCATATGGTTTATAAATCATATCATCACACCTTTGACTAATTTACAATACTACTGCTACTTATTTATTATTATTACCCTAGCGCAAGACTCGTGAAAGGTACAAATCGTAAAAAAAAGGTCGTAATCTTTGATAATAAGAATTTTGATTGATATCTTTGCTTTGACGAAATCACAATCTCATGTGAAATCTCTGTGGCGAGAACAAATCATTTCTTCAAGTGATTATGATTTAAAAGTAGCAATAATTTTCATGTCTACATAATACATACAAAGCTAATAAAAGCGAGTTAAGAACTTAAATTATAACTTTGGAGGGTACAGGCAAGGAGAACCATCACTGTGTATGAATGAAAAGCGTCCGTAAAAACGCGTCCAATAAGAGTGGCGCTGCGGTAGCCTAGGATAAATTTATATTGGCTTAAATAATAATTAGACACTGTGTACTAGACTGCCAAAATAGTCAATAAGTTTTACAGACAGTAAAAAAACGTGTAAAAACTTTCAGACAATGAAAGTATTATATTTTTAGTCAGCACACTTCACTCCGTCTACAATAGCTTTGTTCATATAGTCGTTTTTCGTACGCTAGCGAAATCTATTTTCAGTATACAGCTTGGACACTTTTTCAACTTTCCCCAAAATAATATGGTTCTCACTCCATAATTATAACCAAAAATTACTTTACAGCGACATCTATTAACATTTTAAGTTAACTGGCAAACATATTGGTTCGGGGCCAAACAGCGACATCTAATAACATTTAACTGACCTGAAAACCACTTGTTTGTTAGCGCTTCATGGCGCTTTATTAATAATTCCACAAGTTAGTGTATAATCTATACTACTTTTGTTAATTGTAATCTGTGGCTTGCTACATTTTGGTTTAGTAATCTGTGGCCTGGTGCTACAAAACACAGTAAACTATAATATATACAAAGGACAAACAAACAAGTGTCAAAATATAAACGTGTTAACGCCTGACCGTAGGTAATTCTAAAAATAATTGATGTGTACCTGATCACGTAAAGTAATTATACGAATATATAAAATTTAAACAGGCGCTTAACCTTTGTAATGGCTGGGCTGTTACTTAGTCCTACCGAGAAAGTATTCATAGTCCACGGCGTACAAGTAAGGAATTATAACCTCTATACCGCAAATTTACATTAATAAATCTTACTTTTTATAATTTTTATCAGAAGTACACTGAGCTAGTACTCTTCCTTTTGCTTATCATCTCCACGAGAAACGATCGAAGCAGATCGTTTCGAGGATTTTGCCTTTTTTGTAACAGCTGCAATTGACCAATGTTTTGATACATGTATCACAGTTTATTTAACCACAGTATTATGCTCAGATCCTTTTCTTAACATTCTGATCCTTTATACTACTTAAGTGATTATATAGTTACTATAGTAAACTCACTTGTATACTTACAGGATGACTACCGCTCAGATGGAAGGTCAAATATTGATTATCGGCCCATGGAGCTCGAAACGGACGTCGTGAGTCATGCTAGCGGATCAGCGCGTCTCAGACTTGCCAACACAGATGTACTTGTTGGGGTCAAAACAGAAATTGATATACCTAGTCCTGATAAACCAAATGAAGGAAAAATTGAGTTCTTTGTTGATTGGTAATGTAGTACCCAGTAATATATTCTTAGTTTATCACATCAACAGCCTTTAACAGTCCACTGCTGGACATAGGCCTGTCCTTAGAAAGGAGGTTTTGGCCTACTAGGTATACCACGTTGGCCAGACGGGTTGCTATAGGGTTTGTGTATAGTTTTCCTTCTCTCTGCAGTGCTGTTATCCCGCATATTTCGCTCCCTTAGTCGCCTCTTACGACACCCATCGGGATGAATAGGGGTGGTGACACTCTGTATTCTTAATCCGTCACCACACGGATAAGTAGATAACTTAGTTTATCTCTACCCCAAAAAAATAGATTAAGAACATCATTGTCAATACAGTTAACTCTTTCCATTAATTTTCTGCCAACATAAAAAGGAATTTGTAGATGTTGCTTCAAAAAACAATCATAATACCCTAAAAACTCTGAACATTGAAGGATCAATGTGTCATTAAAGCAAAGCAAACAAATAATGTCAAATCATCAAATGTTTATTACATTTCAGTTCAGCCAATGCTACTCCAGAGTTTGAAGGCAGAGGTGGTGAACAATTAGCCATAGGAATATCAAACTTATTGCAGAGAGCATACCATTCTTCACAGGCCTTAGACTTGAAACAGTTATGTATATTTGAGGGTAAACAATGCTGGAAGCTTTATGTTGACATATTGGTAAGAATAAGCACCAAAAGTATATTTTAATCAGTTGATTGCCTTTCCCCCTTTTGCTTCTGAGGATGTATATTACTTTGTTTATATATTGTTATTTGTAGTGGTTCCAAACTTTAAACTGTGATTCAAGATATTGGAGTGTGGAGGCAATCTCTGTGACGCAGTATCCCTGGCTGTCAAAGCTGCTCTGTTCAACACAAGGATACCATTTGTGAAAGCTGCACTAATGGATGGAGGCAATGTGGATTTGCAGTTATCTGATGACCCATATGACAGTAAACTCCTGAATGTAGGCTCTGCACCTTTATTGGTAAGACTTGTTATACTAATATTATAAAGGTTTTTTTTAAAGACAACTCCCGCGCTAGGAATATATCCTGTGTCGTAGGGGACTTTACAAACATACATGAAATGGACACTAAAAACACCCAGACTCAGAACAACAATTTATGGATCACACAAAGTGTTGTCCTATGTGAGAATCAAACCCACAACACTCAAAGTAGGAAGCGGCGTGGCAACCACTTAAACCACTACACCATCCGTGCAGTCATTCAAAGCTGAAGAGTTTGTTTGGTTGAATCCACTACTGCTTCTGCTGAATCACAGGTACTGCTGCTTCGAATTGTAAAACGCTTTTAGTGTTGGATAGCCCATTTATCGAGGGAGGCTATAGGCTACTTAACATCACACTACAACCAACAGGAGCTGAGCATCAATGAAAAATGTTGCAAAAATGGGAAAAAATTTATTCCTTTTTTGAGACAGACAAAAGTGGTAGTATAAAATCATAAGTTCTTCTATCTAGAAACAGAAGGGATGTTTGCTGGTGTCTTGCTGTGGATTTCTTAGCTTAAGTCACTGTAACAGAAGTCAATGAAATATTTTTTGACTGACTTCAAACTCATTTGAGTTTATATTATACTAACATATCCCAATAGAAAGGGGAGTCAGACAAGGCGATCCGCTGTCTCCAATAATATTTATAGCTGTCCTCGAGGCGATCATAAACAAGCTAGACTGGAGCAAACGAGGACTTTACATAAATGGAAACTACTTGAGCCATCTGAGATTCGCGGATGACCTAGTACTGTTATCCGAATCATCCTCTCAACTACAGAACATGGTAGAAACCCTACACCTAGCTAGTGTAAAGGTGGGACTAGAAATGAATATTACAAAGACTAAGACAATGACAAATAGCATGAAAAGACCAATAATAGTCAATAGCAAACCATTGGAATACGTTGAAAAATACGTCTATCTGGGAAAAACTATAAGTTTCGACAGGAAAAATAAAAACATAGAAATAGAGAAAAGAATAAAATTAACATGGAACAAATACTGGGGTCTCAAGGACATTTTTAAAAGTAATTTACCACAAGCCATTAAAACAAAAGTCATGAACTCGAGCCTCTTGCCATGTTTGACATATGGTTGCCAAACGTGGAAATTCACTGCTGAAGCAAGAAAGAAGATAAGCGTCTGTCAGAGAGGACTCGAACGAAGTATGTTAAAGGTTAGGAAGCTGGATAAAATACGACACACTAAAATAAGAAAAATAACTAAAGCAACAAACGCTCTGAGTTACGCACAGAAATTAAAATGGAAGTGGGCAGGACATGTTGCGCGGATAACAGATCATAGATGGACCAAAAAAGTAACATTTTGGAACGGCCCACTAGGCAAAAGAATAAGAGGTAGACCTATTACAAGATGGGAGGATGATATTAAAGCAATAGCTGGTCCAAACTGGAGACAAGTAGCTGAAGACAGAGCCAAATGGGCATCACTGGAGGAGGCCTTCACCCATTCTGGGGTTCCGGTAGACTAAATAAATTTTTTGTAAATATAAATACTATGATATAATAGTTAAGACATAAAATCCACTTAAAATTATATTAAATAAGACAAAAATAAATAACATAGAATAAACTAAATAAAACTAACACATACATAGATTTTAAAGAAATGTAAAATTTACTGGAAATAAAAAGGCTTTTTTATTTTATTTTATTTTATTTATTTTATTTATACAGAAGGCTGGTAAAACACATTCAATTTAAATTTATACAGGCAGGTGAGAAGATAACGACAGAAGAAACATTTATATCCCGTTTAAAGCAAAATAGTTTATATAAAGGGAAAAGCTAAATTTTTAAGAAACAAATTTCTTTTATGAAGACATTCCCTGCTGTTTTATCCATTTTTATAGTCACTGCCCTGCTCCTAGTCATATTACACAGCATGTTAACTTCCCTAATGAATACTCTACTTAAAATAATTTATCAAAAGGTCCTCAGATTAGCTTGTGTAAGATTTAAACATGTTTGTTTAAATTGCACTGAGAATTTTTATTTTGTTTGTAGAAAGAAAAACTCTTCAACTTCATTATATTAATATAGTTATACACTATATTAATATAATGAAGTTGAAGAGTTTTTCTTTCATTAAAAAATTGCTACAATAAGCTACAGAGGTCCATTATATAATAGTTTTATGTTTTTTATAATTAAATATAAATTATTTATTTTTCAGGTTACACTCTGTAAAATAGGTGACAAATGTGTAGTGGACCCATCTGCCGAAGAAGAAAGTTGCAGTGTAATATCAGTTATAGTTGGGATCACAGGCATTCCTAATTGCTATTGTGATGGAGGAGACGCTGTAGAAGAAAAAGAGGGTAAATTTACGACTATTGACATGAGTGGGCCTGGAAGCTTAGCACCCAAGACTTTAAAGAATGCTGTTAGTCAAGGAATGTAAGTATTATAACAATAACAGTCGAATTTCTGTATCTGCGTGCAATTTATCTATAATATTGTCTAAAATAATATGCGTTTTTACAAATATATCTTCATCAGCAGTCTGGTTACCATGGTACAGGCTTTGCCTAGTTTGGGATCAGACTACCATGTGTGAGATGTGTGAAATTATCTCCTCAATTAATTCTATATGTATATAAGTAACTTTTTTCTTTTATTGCATTTATTGTAATCATTATAATATGTAAATATAAAAACTATTCGTGTTAATAAAATGTATGGTTCCCAATCTTCATTATGGGATATGATGCCTAAAACATTACAATAATAGCGTAGAAGATCTATGGGCTGAAATAGCAAACAAAAAATCGTCAACTAAAAGCATTCAGCAGCAAGAGAGAAACATACAACACTTCCACATTCTTTATCCTCTGTTGACAGAGTGGTCACAGCCAACGCTGACTTTTTTTATACACTTTCTTATATTTTTTTATTCTAAGGATTTTACGAATAATAAGCACTACTAAGCTACCCACGCGGCCGCTTTCATTATGTACGTTTGAATACAAAGTAAACGGGCATTCCCCGTAGTTCTGTCTCACAGGTCTAAACGTCTAAGTCAGGCGGCAACTTTGTACCGCAGATGCTGCGCGCAGTTGACGTGCGCCTTGCTCACTGTGTTTGGTCACATCTTAACACATAGAGGGAAAATTCTTTTCTATTAGAAACAATTGTTAACTTAAATTAATTTATTTTTACAGAATTGCCGCGAAGTTACTTGACAAAGCTTTAGCAAAAGCTCTTCTACGGGAAAGACAAGAAAATGTTACACTAAAAAAGCATTCCTATGGATTTTTAAAATAAAGATTATGTATTAATTTATAAATAAAAAATCAATATCCCATTTAAGCTTTATTGATATAATCATTACAATATATGTAATAAACTAGAAATAAACATATTAGTAAGTATAAAGTATACTAAAGCAGTTGCTTGATTAAATACATATATTGCAGTTACAATATATGTATTTAATCACTTGAATTCATTCAAATAACTAAGTATCTAGTGTCTAGCACCGAAACTCGGTGTTGGTAAAGTGTCGTGCGTCGTTCGGTTAACTTCGCAGCTAACACCGGCTCTGGCTTAAGTTCGCCGCCTTCCAGTGCGATCTTTTTTTACATTGTATGGGAGCAAGCGAGTGGACAGGTCGAAAGATGGTGACTACCGCCGCCAATGGAAACCTGCACCTGCCTAACATTGTTTTTTATATCAAAGGGGATTATTAGATCTAGAGCTTCGTTTTGTTGAGATTTATTTATATTTTAGTGACAGATAAAAGAGATTACAGAACGTTTCTCAAAACTCAAGAAAAGCTTGAGCGTAGTTTTATAAGGCGAAAACCTCATGCGTTTCTGCAGTTTTGAGTATCATTTTGTAATACGACCCTTAGATTTTTTGTTTGTAGATACTTAATTGTATTTTAACATTATTAACTACCCAAAGCACTTATACTGTAATCTTCAGTTGCTTAACTTTAACTATGAGAAAACGCATGGTCCGTTCAAATTACCTAGTCAGCCACTTCGCCTCGTCCTTTGCCGGTACCTACCTAGTTAATTTGGACAACTGAATTTTTACTACTTAGTACCTAGGTACCTACGTATTTTGACGTGACAACGTCTTATAAATTGGTTTGCCGGGTGACACTTCAAGAAACTGCGTTACGCTCCGCTCACGTTATGCGCTCACAATGAGAGCGAGTGAGAGGCACGCGTCCCTTCCACTCGGGCATGGTTAGCCCGCCTAAGAGCGAGAGAGACAGACATAAATTAATGTTTTAAATATAATTCTTTGTATAAATAAATGTTTTAAATTGTTACTATTATTTCAGCCTTCTTCCTACTATACGAATGAATATTCACATTAAAATTATTTTACCACTCAAAGTCGTTGTCACGTAAAACTTTCGCCCGTATACCGACTTTACAGGCAACCAATTTTTTATCTACCTAAATACATTCTCTCTTATTTAGAATTAATGCTGTGTCTACCATATTAGGGTGTTACTAAACCAATCGGTCTATCGATTGGTCTGGTAACATTCTACCATCGATCGATGATAGAATGGATTAGTCGACGTCGATCGATATTCAATGGTAGAATACTTCACATCGATCGAGCTGCTTGAAAACGGCCAACAAAAGCGCGTCATCTTCTGAATATATTTCGAAAGAAACTGATGGAATTTAGCCGGATGATAGGGTTAATCGATAAACGTCGATCGATACCATCGAATGATTGGATATTCACGCGAACGCGTTAATCAATCAAAGCTACCACACCAATCGATCACCGTACATGGATGCCATTGATCGACGATCGATCGATTGGTCTGGTAACCTTACTGTGGTTTTAGGTGGTATGTAGGTATAAGCGAATAAATGGCTAAAAATACACGATTTCACTATACAATCGAAATTTTTAAATTAGAGTTTCGGCTACGATTTCAGTCGAATGTAAAACAAGGGCCGATAGTTCGGTTTCAGTTGAAAAACCTATTTCCGCCGGACACTATAAATATCGCATTTTAGAACTCAGAACTACTGCAAATATATACAAATGATTTTAAATATATTTTTGGATATGGAGAATAAGTACGCAGTTCAATCCAGTACACCAAAATGTCAATAACCCCCAAGAGCAGTGGTAGTTATATGTGTACTTTGGGAGGTTTCACAAAAAGTTAAGAATGTGGGTCAAAATGACAGGAGGTATTGTCACTACTGTCGCTAGATATTTAATATGAAAGACAACAATTACATTTCTTGATAACTGCATATCATTATATTATATAAGTATAATAGAAATAATATACGTTTACTATAATTAGATTATTTCTATAGTACGTTACAAGTGATACATTTAGGTACTATGTATCTACCCAACACCTATGTTACATTTGGGTTACAAATAAACAAAAAATATGAAATTACTTCACAGAGACAACAATAGGGAATATGCACGTGACACCAAAATGGACAAAATATTTTTATTTGTAATTGTTATTGCTAAAAGAAGATACCCATACAATTATTTTTGAAATTTATTATAATTTAATAGTGAAATTTAATCATCAAAAATTGGCTTTTTTAAGATTCCCTCGCAAATTTCTAAAACGCAACGCTATTGGTTGAATAAAACGTGACGTCAACCTACACTGTCAAGAGTGTCAACAAGTTGTGTGTATTTGTAATATTTGGTTTCTGGTGATTATTTGTTTCATTTTAAGTTAATAACTAATACGTTTTCAGTGTTAAATTATTAAATTCCCGTGTAGAAAGACTCAACACAATGACTGAATATACTTTGTCAGGTGCAGTTTTGATATTATTTTGGCACAAGGGAACGGGACAGTATTTATAATAAGTTTTTATTGGTTTTTCCATGGTAATAAGTTAATTTATATCACTCACTTTTTTAACTTTCACAAACTTTGTGAACTTCACTCCGTTGTTGACATCGAATTCGTCTGAAAGTGTAGTCTGACGTCACAAAAAAAGCGCGCCAAAATGGATGTGTTCAAATTGCCCCAAAATGATAGTAATATTAATAAATTTTTTTTTGCTTAACGGTTTATATTTCGGATGTGTTATATTTATTTTTGGTAATGTAATAACGAGTAGAATCGTTTAAAAAAATAAAAAAAATACATGCATATTCCCTATTAATGATTAACTGCAGTCATTAAATAAAAATAAAATCATTATAATGCACGTCTTTGAGAAAAAATAATATTCAGAAGCAAGTTCAATTTTCCCACCATAATACCATTATACAATCATAACATTAAGGAATATTTAAGTGAACATGATACATTCATAAGTCTACATGTTAACTTCCCCATATAGGCCTTTTGGCAAGAAATAGCGATGTAAGTATCTTGTTTTACTTCTTGGGGTTAACTGGAGTAAGCAGGTCCAGTACAGAGGCAATATTGCCATCTGTGTGTTCGAGAAGTTGAGTCAACCAGTCACCATCGTTTGTGAAGCCCATTTTCATCATTTGCTCAATTGCTGCATCGATGTGAGGCTCTGTGAAAATACAGACAATTCGTTAGACATCACACTATTGAACTAAAATTACATACATTCCTGTAAAAAAACTAACGTGAATGAAATATACTATGGTGATGTAGCTTAGTTAGATATAATAATAATAACTTGCACATATTACAGGCAGGGCAGGGCAGCCTGATCGCAAACCAGGCAGAGCTGTTCTATGGTAACTAGACTGCTCATTACCATCCTAAAATATTTCTGAATACGTAGGTACAGATTATAGATAAATTACATACAGACACAGAACAAATGATCATACTCTATCACACAATTATTTGTCCTTGGTAGGAATCCACTGACTAAGAGGTCAGGTCAGTCACAAACCAACACTAGACTAACCAGACTGTTGATGAGCTTACTTATATATTTCTAAATACATACATATTATAGATATATTACACCCAGACACAGAACAAATCATCTGTCACACTATTAATTATTAATTACACAATTAAATATTATTATTAATTTGTCCTGGGTCGGATTCGAACCCACGACTTCCACTAACCATTAGACCAACAGGCTTATCAAACTTGGTTTAGATACTGTTGTATTTTTAATTAAACGCAAAAGTATCAATGTTCTGAGAATTTGCTTATTCCCACGAAATGGTTAGAGCAGTAATCATATAAAAATAAGTTTCCTCTATTATTATATATATAACTATATATATATCAACTGTCATTTAATATTAAATCAAAGGACATTCAAGTTATGGGGTTCAATCGTTAAATTTAAATCTTAAAATTACCCTAAATTTATTTTTTTCTTCTTTGAAATTTTATAATATCTTTCCCAAAAAAAATCGGTCTTAACGACCGCATTTACGATATTTATTTCACTAGTTTTAAATTTATAGGAGAAACACCAAAGCTTTAACTTGCAGGCCAATATATTTGATTGTATCACTTTATTAAATGAGGTACCGAAACTAATATAGAGTGATATGACTGAGAAACTTGACATGTTAGACGGTTATACTATAAAGTATTTACCGTACTAATTAAATTAATGATTCATACGTTCTTATACTTTCTAAAACATGAAAATACTGATGACACATTTTTTCAACAATATGATAACAAAATATTGCGATAACCTGAAGGTTATATGACAATAATGATAGCAATTACCTATTTATATCACCTATTTGTTATGACTAAGCTTGATATCAATTTGGAACAAATTTTGTCTATACTTTTTGAATAAAAAAACATTTTAAGCCGAGGTTAACTAGGTCTGTCGACCAGATAGTCTTTGTTCTACCGTATTCTTTATTATCTGTAAGCCTTTTTTATATTGTCAATTATACCATAACACGTGCATTCGATGACTAACCGAGCCCTTATCTAAAGTACAGTATCAATCGAATCAACGGAACTAGCTTTTAGATACTTGCGATACCTACAGATTCCATGAAATATAAACAATTTTATGTAAATATGTATTTGGGGAAAACTCAAAATACATAAAAAATAACTTTCCTTTTTCTAGAATAACTTGAATTTGGTTTTTGTTTAAAAATTTTCATTAGTAATACCTACCTTAAATGTTGCAATACTCTGGATACTTACTTGGATGGCGCTGCCTGGGTTGAGGTCGCGACTGTGGCGAGGTCTGCTGCGGCTGCGGGGCGGGCGCTGGGGCAGGCTGCGCGGGCGCAGCAGTGGCGCCCTCGGCCACGGGGGCGGACGGGGGCGCTCCCGGGGTCACCTCCGGTACTTTAGGATTCAACACTAAATGTTCAGCTTTAGTCAATAACGATGAAACATGAACTACGACACAGGTGGTTGCAGTACTGACAATTTAAGCATTAGGTTGTTACTACAGTTTCTGACTGATGTAGTTTATATCATAGATAGATAGAGCTACTTGCACGAGTTATTATAATTTAAAGCTTTTTTAAATCTAAGCTTATTAAATCCCTTATAAGTTTTAAAAGATTTTATCCCTTAACGAGTAGGTATGAAACTATCACGCTTCGAGTAAAATGAGACTAAATTATCTAACACGTATGTTACAGCACTAAAGGTAGATCAAAATGATTTTGCAAAAATAAATAAAAAATCACAGTTAATTACCAGCAGCAGATGAATACAGTGGTGGGTAAAGACTGGCTCCCTCGTTGATTCTAACGCGTTCTTGGAACTCTTCAGGCAGATTAAACCCAATGGGGGGGATATCTTCAGTTTGGGTAGTAGTACCCACATCCATTAAATCTAAAAACATAATTAGCTTTTACATGGCTTGATTGTGGATCGACTCATTTGAAAATAGTATGAATAGCAGAAATTAAGGCAAGAGGTAAAGAACCAAGGCAAATTATAAAACGCAGTGGATGAAATTGTTCCAAAAAAATTTAACAGAAGACCTATTTCTTAGCGTTCCATGAATGGTAAATCCATGGAACGCTAAGCGGATGCCGGGTCCATCTCGTGTTAGATGGGGGCAACACATGCGACTGGCCGGTGACTTTGACAGCGCCTGGGACTTGCGGCCCAGGTATAGGATTAGGGAGTACCTCTTGCAACGCGGTAGCGCTCACCTCCACTGTCTGCTGTGTTACCCCCTCTACCTAACCATATTTGATACGAGTCTAGAAATGTCGCTTTGGATATTCGTTCAAGAAAAGAAATTACTGGCAGTGATAACTCACTAGATGACAGTGTAAAATAATGAGTCATTTGACACAAAACATGTATGAAAAGAAGTGCGCATATAGCGATAAGAATAAATCACACAACAAACTTAAAGGGATTTCTTAAGACTGTCCACACAAGTAGAAAAAAAGAGGCTGCTTAGTGTTGTTCTATAAGGTGTCACTTTGAACAAAGTTCAATTTAATGTTCTTAAATCAGAATTTTACATTGGGTAAAGTTCAAAGAATATATATATACATATATATAACTTTGCTGATAAATATATATCTGTACAAAGAAATAAAATTGAAGTGTCTGTTTGTAATGTCAAAATAATAGGTTTTTACATGCCAAGGACATCATCATCATGTTGTCGAGGCCTCAGTCGCGTACCACACTAAGCGCTTTTCTAATTCCACTCGACCGAAGTCGCGGGCACCAGCTAGTTTTAAAATATTGTGAATGACAGATAAATTTAATTTACCTTTCTCCTTATTTATCATAGTCCAGTCATCAGCTTTTTCAGGGGAAGCTTCCTTGTAGAAATCAGTATTGATGCTCGAATCAGCAGTTGCTTCTGAGACAACTGAGCCTGACTTCGACCCAGATCTGGCTGATTTCATTGAAGTCCCCGAATTCACAGTGACATTATCAGCTTCTGGAGTCTTCCTGTCGCCTTGTCCCATCTCCACATCATTTTCCTTTTGTATTACAGAAGAATGCATATCTTGTAAGAACATCTGTAGCAAACCTTTGATGTTTTCGACATTAAGAACTGGTGGAATGACAGGGATTTCAGTCTCCACATTTGCCGAAGTAGTAGGCTCTGGTTGTTTTGGAGTCTCAACAGTTTCGTTAGCAGCCTTTTTCACCTGCTCCTGAGTTCCTTGCGGCTGCTGTTCTTCTGGTTTTGTTTGCGGCACCTTGGCCTTGTCATCACTAAGATCAATATCGCCAGCAAGATTAGCGAATTCGTTCATGTAAGTTGCAAATGTTTCCAACCAACTGGAGCGAGGACGACGATGGTGGTCACCTCCAGGGGGACCGTGATGTCCACCATGGGGACCGTGATGTCCACCATGGGGACCGTGATGTCCACCATGGTGACCGCGGTGCTTTCTCTCACCACTCCTATCGCGACGGCGCTTCATATAGGCGCACTCTTCGCCAACATTACTAGAAACGGACTTAAGGAACTGACGGGATCTCTTGATTGCTGCTTTAATCAAAGTCCTCTATAAAAAAAATACAAAGTATTAAAGTCTATAATTGTGAATGTAAAAATTTTTAATATGCCTCATAATTTATAATATACATATCTTTAAATTTAAAAGTGATAATATCAGTTTATTAATAGAAAAATCATAGTTATTCGTCATTTACATTCATTAAAGGTATTGAACTGTTTATACTAGTTATATTACGCAATTACTTACTACAATGACCTCGAAAATCTTAATTAGTTAATAAAACGGAAACTGTGCATCCTGGTATACTACTTGCATTAAGTCAAAGACACTTACCGGCATAGTTGCAGTAGGCACTCGGACCATGCAATGTTCCGGATGACAGCCTGCGGCTTCACATTGCGAGCACAAGTCAAAGTCATCACAAACGGTGCACTTGTAACGAAAGCCGACAATCGTATTGTCACAGGAATCACAGATAACGCCTAAATGTATGTTTCCAGGAATAACTGAGAATAAAATATATGAGAAATAAATTAAAAGGCTTTTTTAACTCAATTGCCAAACAAGCACACAACTCACCTAATAGTGAACTGTGGCCAACAACTTAGGACATTAAATTATACATAAACTAATTATTTCATAATTTTATATGCTTATTCTCAGAATGAAAGCAGATTTACTAACACTTTACAAAGTTAAAATTAAAACAAACCACATAACACACATTAGTAAATTACCTGTAGGCATCTGGGCAGGGCATCCTGGGATGTTGGTTGCACCAATGAAAATATTGCTCTCTGGCTTCTTAACCTCTCCTTTGCAGTAGATATAAAGTTTAAGGTCATTGTAATTTGTAAATTGCAGAGCAGTTTTCAACTCCATGTCCGAGGAAATGACAACATCATCACCATCGTTATCTAAAATTAAATGTTCATGAAATCTGACACAAGAAAAAAAAAATACTGTGTACTGAATTTACATTGGATGGCAATAATTTGTATGATTTATAGATAGTTGTTTTGAGTCTGGGTGTACTTTGCCATGAATTATATGTGTGTGAGAACAACTTTTAAATATCTCTGAGATATTTCCTTAGTGCAAAAGTTATCTAAAGGAACAATACACAAAGACAGTTAAACAAAAGGATTAATTTAAAAAATGCACATACATACATTTAAAATTAACACTTCGTTTTTAGTGACTATTTGTGATTAATAATCCATTATGTTGTAACAATATGATTAAATCTGTACATGATTTCTGATTCTCTAAAAGGTTTTCTTTTTGTAAAAAGTTACCTTAAATCAAATAGATATAGTAGAAATAAGATAGTTTAAGTTACCTTTCCAAGAAACAATATAGTTCTTGTCCTTAAGTCCAGGGTATACCTCCAGAAGTCTTTGACTCAGTAAAAAGAAGCTGTCAACACTACTTTTTACAACTCCGAATCTCCTGACTTCAGGCTTGTCTTTCTCATTCCAGAAAGTATACACTTTAATGGGTATTTCCTTCACGTTTTCCATGATGAAATATTAGTTATATTTCCAAACTGTAAGGTCAAATAATGATAATTTTACTAAATAATACATAAGTGAGGCTATTCTAATTAAGGATTCCTACACAGTCTAATTTTGCATCACCTTCACAATTTATTTGCTTTCCCCCCCTCCTCCCTTTTTTTGGTAAATAAACAACACAGTCCTATGTGATCATGCTGTGTATGCATAGTTAGGGACTTGGTTAAGAACTTAACTTTTAGATTATAATATATTGCAACCTACCACTACGTTCTACGTTGTATTTTGTGTACCCAAACTTAATAAATATAGATTATAATGTTGATATTTAAAAAAAGTATAGTAAAAAGGGAAGAATATAATCATAATTTATTGACAAAAGTTAGCAGCTTTTTACACACTGAATGTTTATTTAATATATTAAAAATATATTACCTATTCAATGACCAGGAAATAAAGAGTGCTGGACATATATGATGCAATACAAAAATGTTGTAAATATGCTCAAATTCAAATATTAATGTAAAAAACAAAGGTTTATATATATAATATATAATAAACTCTTAAATAAACTATCAAGAGTACCTAAGTACTATGAAAATACTAATTTAATTGAATGCCTTAAAATCAAGCAATTTCATGTTTAGATCCTTCAATAAACAAGTACCCATAATTCATATTCATCCTCAGAAAAAGCAATAGCAGAAATTGGTCGAAATAACGAGGCCCTTGAAACTTAGGCTGTATTTACGTCAATTCCAGAGGCCATTTTGTTTTGCAAACTGTTGACTTTGATATCGGCAATAATTCTGCAGTCAAGCAAACCCGGCAGACAACTTTCAAACAGGCTTCAAAAAAATAAAAATTATAAAAACTTACCCACTACGATAATATAATTTCCTCAATAATATATTGACAAACTGTCACTGCGATGCCTCGCACTAAGAAGTAATTTTCTTACTGAATGTTGTCGGCAAATGCGCTCTATTTAAATAGGATTTCAAAATATTATGATTCATCAATCAGTGGAACGTTGTAGAAAAACAAACCAAGATATATACCTTATTGTGCAATCGGTGTGTCACTGTTGTCAAAATCAAAAGTCATCAGCGAACATGGTCGCAATACAGGAAAGAGACTCGTCGAAATTTAGCCTCTTATTTTCTTTGCGCTTTTTTTAACATCCACGAAAATGTATTTTTGTCCTTGTTTTGCGCTGACAATGATGCTCATTGTTCAATATTTTACATCTAACATTTTACGTTTCATTACACGCTACATTCAGAATTTTTTAAGTAGATTTATTGGTGTTCGAAACCGAAACAGGTTCTTCAGCTGAAACCGCAACCGAACTTCGGCCCTTGTTGCAGTTTCGGCTGAAACTGAAACTCAAACTATCATTTTAAAATTTCTACTGTATAGGTACTGAAATCTAGTGTATTTTTAGACCTTTTCTGCTTATACCTACATACCACCTAAAACCACTATAATAAGGTAGAAAATGTATTTAGGTACCTAGGTAGATAAAGAAAAAACGTAGCTAGCTACTAAATACTAGAAATTGACCTGTCTTGATTAACTAGGTACCTCACGCGATAGAGGGGAGAGAACGGGGTGAGGTGGCTGATTAGATTAGGTAATTTGAACGGACCATATGCGTTTTCTCATAGTTAAAGTTAAACTTGTGCCCCAAACTTCACTTACATTTGAAGGCAGTTACAAGCTATAAAATAACGTTTAAAGTAAGTCTTTAGAGGTCTTATTCACAGTTTTAGAATGTATTGAAATGTTTTCATACTTATTTAAACAATTTTTAAACAGTGCATTATTTTTGGTATTTTATTGTTAAACAAATTAAAACTAATTCTTAAGAAGTTATGAACAGAACCTGGTTAGTATCCACTTACCCGTTTCAGAGATCGAGCAAACCCACAAACGTTAACTTTGCAGCCTAAGAAGATACAAATACAAAATAAGTTGTAACATTTACCTCATCTAGGTAACTAATTATTTAGGAAACATTTATTTCAATATTCCTATTACAAAAGAAAATTTCACATTACAGACGTGCATGCAGCAGGAAAGGCATTTTTTGACGTGACAACGTCTTATAATTCGATGGAGCCGGCTGCACGCACGAAAAAACATGACTCATGCGGCGTTACCTCGCTCTGAGGCGTTCCATTTAAGGCGTGAAGTGCAAGCGAGAGCGCGGACCGAGTGACAAAGAGGCACAATCGGCCTCCGCGTTCGGCAGCGTTCGACATCTGTCTCTCTCCTACTTGAGTGAGCGATGCGTCCGCGTGGACAGCTGCTACTCGTATACAATAATACATTTTTGAAAAATGCTACCATTCCATCAGTATTTTCTTATGACGTTGTCACGTTCAACTATCGTCAGTAAACCGACTTTACAGACAACCGATTTTTTTTTAATTAACTTAAAAAATGATTTTGCAGGGGTAAGTAAAGCACACATTTTAAGCAACTGAAAATGATACGCAGTATAAGCTTTTTAGATAATTAAAAGTGGTAAAATAGGGGTTCAGAATTTAATTTATTTATTAAATATATAACAACTATCTACAGACAAATATCTCTACGGGTCGCATTACAAAATGATACTCAAAACTGCACAAACGCATGAGGTTAGTTTTCGCCTTATAAAACTACGCTCAAGCGTTTGAAACGTTCTGTACGACCTAAGTAATATCTGAATCAAACATAATCTCTTTTATGCTACCAATATATAAATATAACTCAACGAAACGAAGCTCTACCTATACCTAATAATTGCCTTTGAGATAAAACAATGTTAGTTACAAATAAAAAGAAAACAAATACAAAATTATTATGCGTAAAACACAGCGGCACATATAAACCAGGCTCGACCGGAGTGATTACACGGCCTCAAAGAAAACCTGTGTTAAGCAGTTCTTTCGTTGTTTTTCACCGAATGGGAGAGTTACCGAACCGAATGGGTTACCGGCGCCCAAACCCTCCCCTTTTTCCTGATTCTATTCTTCTTCCTAAGTTACAGGTGTCCATGGGCAGTGGTATTCACTTCCCATCATTCGACCTGTCTGCTCGTTTGCCCCCAAACACCATAAAAAAAAACGGACTGGACGGTGGGGAACTGAGCCAGAACCGATGTCCACTAGTTAGCCGCGATGATAACCGAAACCGACACTCGAACCGAAACTAGATATTTTGGCCGAAGCTGGCCGAAACCGAAACTTCGGTCGGTCACTAAAATTTATATTCAAAATATTAAAACTGCCTACTAGCCTACAAAAATAGCAAATCATGATGACATCATGCCATCGTGTTGTATTTTAAGCGATTTTTTAAAATAAAAACTGAAGTATTAGTGATAAAATAATTAGGCAAATTTTAAAATCATACTTGGTTTTTATGAACTCTTCTGATTAAACTTTACAATATCCATCAAATTCCGTTAATTTAAGTCCGTGTGTGTCAAAATCAAAGATTCTTTAAAAGTTTTAAAAACTTAGTCGCCAGTTAAGGCTGGCATTGAGCTTAAAAAAACATTGATTTCTATATTCGGTATTGTAAGTACATTAGATTATAAGGTTTCCAAATGATATTAATAACAACTTTACACATCTCACACACGAACAGATTAACATTTTTAAACATCTATTGCATTAAAAAATATGTACTTCAAATAGACCTATTTTTGTGTCACAAAATGACATAAAAATTTAATTTTTAAGGACCTTCCCGTAAATTCAATGGCTCAACAACTCCACACCCTCCACAGTAGATTCGACAAAATTACTGTGAACTGTGATTTATCATTCGATTTTTGCGCACGTAGGTTAGGGTTGCTAGGTAGGTAGGTTAGACGCTATTTAACAGTAAATCTAGTATTTTTTTTATTATTATGTAGGGAATGATACCTTTATATAATAAAATGATTACTAGATATATTGTTAAATAGGCGAAATAGAGTCTTTACGCATCATCTGAAAACAGCGTATATGCAACAACGCGTGAGTATGTGGTAACCCTAACCTATGTATGAAAAAATCGAATGAAAAATCACCGATCAGTTCACTGTGATTTTGTTCCATTTATACTTACTCCACAGGCATTGACGATTATTTAAGTCATTCCTACAAGTTCACCACTTAGGCCCCGTGTCAGTGATATTTCATTTGGGAATATGATATAAGAGGGGTACTCTCTGTCCTCTTGTCTTGTCATCGGTCCACATATAGATGTAAAACAACTGATTTAAAATAGAAAGTACCTACCTACATTGCGAGAGTTTGTTTGGTTTTAAAACAATAAAAAAATGGTTATTTACTAACACAGAGTTGTTAACTTATCAATAGAATTTTAATAACTTAGGTAAGTAATACCTACACTTGGTCGGACGAACCAACTAGAACTAAACGCGCTAAGTATATCAATGTCAGTAAATCACACATATGAAAAATCTTGACACAGTTTATAGGTACTCCGTCATATTTACCTACCTCGGTAAAATCAAGAAAATGTAGTTATAATTAAGAAAAACATAGTCATCAACACCAACCGTTGTAAAAAAGGTTTTTTTAAAGAGTGGAGATGCTGGACGGTCTCGATCGTGACCCCTGGGGTCGCCCTTATGCGACAATAGCTCCGCGCGTCGGCCCCAAAACAGAAACTCTAGAGCACAGCTTCCTGCAGGAAGTGGTGGAGGGCCTATTCCCACAACGGGCGGAATACACCTGTCGATGGCCTCCTTGGCCGTCGACGACGGGGAGAACATGGATAATGTACCGCCCGTCAGGGATCGGGACTGTTCTACGGATCCGTTCCAAGAACACCGCCCCTGGGCTAGATGGGATATCGGCCCGAGTGCTGGCCCTAGCCCTTCACCACATGGCAGACCACCTTAGGAACGTGTACGACGTTTCCCTGAGTGCTGTAAGAACAGGAAGCTGATCGCATTGAGGAAACCGGGACGGCCTTCCGATTCTGTCGCGGCCTACAGGCCCATCGTATTGCTGCACGAAGCGGGTGGTGGCGGTGGGCCCCAATCTGTCGGACGCCCAAATTGATTTTCGAGCGGGGCGTTCGACGGTCGACGCTGTGTTGCGCCTCAAGACCGTGACCGAAGAGGCGGTGAGCCGTGCCGGCGTGCTGTTGGCGGTGTCGTTGGACATCGCCAATGCATTCAATAGTTTGGCATTCAGCTGCATCAGGGAAGCACTCCACTGTCATGGGGTGCCAGAGTACCTGAGGCGGCTGGTGGCAGACTACTTAGAGGAGCGTACCGTCATGCACGAGGACCAAGATAATGCTTTGAGGCGTCGGACCATGTCAGGCGGTGTTCCGCAGGGGTCTGTTCTTGAACCACTCCTGTGGAACATGGGTTACGACTGGGCCCTTCGAGGTCGCCTCCCCCCAGGGCTGGGCATTTATTACGCCGATGACACGCTGGTTACAGCGGACTTTCAAGAGGCCGCGCGACGCGTTACCGGTGTGGAGGTTGATGTTGGGAAGTTGTATAAATGCTAATTGGGAGGGAATTCTTCATATCGGGATACAGGATTAGCAATTCTCATTTAGTAGTAACTTCAGAGTTCGGTGTGTCTTCGTTAGATGGCGCTGTAGTATGTTTCTGTTCCTTTGTATGTGGGAGTCGCCACACCGGTTCAGGCAGAAATAAAATATCTGGGCCTGATCCTCGACGGGAGGTGCTCTTCAAAGAGCACTTCCGACAGCTTGCTCCAAAGCCGGTCAGCGCTACGTCTGCCCTTGGGCGACTTTTACCCTAATTGTGGGGACCCAGCGTCGCAACGAGACGGCTGTACGCGGGGGTTGTCCGGTCAATGGCACGAAATTACTCTCGGCTCAGAATTCCGGGCAACGGCCACTTCGACTAATAGTTATACGAGAACGACCTTGACTTTTTAAGCTGTTACACTTCTCAAGAGTGTCCCATATTAGCAATATTTCTTGCCCCTTTCTTGTTAATTTGCCCTTTCAATAAACAGTATACAGACAGCAGCAACTTACCCCGTTTTACGTGAGTACACCTATAATTTAGTTGGACCCTCAAATTGTGCCAAATGCTTGTGTTTAATACAGATCTGCTTACAACTTAAGAGTTTATAGGATATAAGTGTAGTATATGTGTATATTATGGAAAAAACATTGTTATGATTCCTTACATATCGCCGCGTCGGTCTAAATCTGACAACTCGTATGTTACAAACTGATGGGCTTTTCAGAAGAGATAAAAACTGTTCTACAAAGAAGGTATAATACACATCTTTTTTACTCTTTTAAAACTCAAATAATATATTCTTTCAATAAAAAACAATTAAAAGAAATGTTCAATTAATAAAATAACATTTTGCACAAAAAATTAACTTTACCAAAAAATTGTAGTTAAAATGTGAAAATGTCACATCTAGACCGACTATATTTAGCTTTGGATTTTAACTAAAACAAAGCAATTTAACAGTTATAATTTTAATGCTAATAGCTAATGTACTCAATGATATATACAATATAAGTATTGTACTTTAACTCTATTCTTGATGTTCTTTTTCAATTGCCTTTTTTGACATATTTGGTGCATACTTTTCCTCATCTGCAAATTTTGTAGGTCCGCCTAGTTGAACAGTTTCTGGAATATTCAATTCTTCATTTAGCTTCTTTGCTAGAAAGTATATTTCGGCTAGGGCGATAATCAAGGCACACATAACTCCTAGTAGTAGTCTGAATCCGAAATCTAGCCACCCAATCATCAACTCCACTCCTTTGAATCCGAAAAGGAATCCAGCAAATATTGAAATTATGAACTGACCAATTGCAATTAACTGACGGTTAACTTGTTTCACTGAAAAAAGAAAAATTTAGTGTTAAATAAAAACACATAACATAATAGCATAGAACAGCCAGTTATGACTCTGATTCTTTGTAATCACAAAGTATTGCGAGAATATATCAGACAGACAGACCCTGACCTACCCAAGGAAGGACAAATAGTGAAGTGTAATAGTATGTACTTAATAATCAGTATTTGCAGCAATATTATTTTTCCTTCCGTCTTGAATCTTTTAATATTGGCGGTCGAAAGCAATTTGTCTTGTGTTCCTATGACGGCTTTTTTTATACGAAAAACGTTACGAGTTATGCATTTTTTAGATAGTTTATGGTTTCTGGTATTTAATTGGATATTTCGAGATAGTTACGCAAAAATCACTTTCTGTCATTGATGTACTCTAGTTCTCAAATCTTCAATTTCCCCAGCAACAGCTTGGTAAAAATAAGATTCAGATTAATTAGTATAGGTCAATTAAAGTTAGATTACATTATAGTTGGCAAAATGCAGATGCCAAATAACCTTGGACTTCTCTTTTCTAGATATAGGTCTGTGTGTGCATGGCATAGGATTACAAATGCACATAATAACAAAATAATGTGCATTTTAAGCAAACTGCTCCATAACAATGTATATGGCTACACTTACACTGGTAGGAAATACTGTCCTCTGGAAACCTCATCCTAACATTATCCACAGATTTCGTCATTTTTCTATATTCTCTTGCTTCTTGTTGAGCTCTAAGTTTTACACACCGCGCTTCAAGGACAGGATTTCTTTTTAAGATTTCATTTCCTGGAGTTTCTATCTGGGATCCTTCTAACAATGTATGTAAGTATGGAACATTCTTTTCACCTCTACTTTTTAGCTTTTGAAGATGTGCATATAACCAGTCAATGTCAGAAGTTATTAAATGAAATTTATTTTCTTCATTATTATTTTCATTTTTTTTATCATCTCTTTTAGATTTCTTCATTTTTTTATTACAATCATCTTTTTTTGGCTTTGGTTTACTATTTAAACTATTTTTTGAATTAGCTTTTACTTCAGTGGAATCTGTTTCAGACCCTTCACTTTTTATATTTTTAACCTTATCATCCTCTTCTGTTAAATTTTCAATTTCCTCTAATTCACTTTCTTCTACTTTATTAACCACTGATCTTATTTTGTGTAGATTTTCAATATCTTTACTATCAAGATATAAGGAAATTGTTTTGGCATCATCATTAAAAACTTTCTGATTTACTTCACAATTTTTACCTTTTACAAGTTTAACAATATTCTCAGGTGCATCATCAATATGTAATGTTTTAATGAAATTAAACAAATTTTTAGATGGGTATATTCTAAGGTTTGTATCAACAAGTGATCCTTGTAGATCCATTGTTTACTTATTAGCAATACTCAGTTTATGATTAAGGTCAGCATACAAATCTCTAAGCTCTTCTTCTTTTTCTTCAAATGTGTTGTCAATCCTTTGACATTTAAAATTCATATCATCAATAAACTGGTCCCATTCCTTCTGTCTTTTCTCATGGTTTTCTTGGCGCTTCTCCTCATTAACCTAAAACATACTATTATAATTTATGTGCCCTAGTGATGTGTTTAAATGTGTCACAGAGAAGTGGGCAGTGCAATAGTTGGAAAAGAAGATAAACACTCTAGAGATGTGGTGCTGGAGGAAATGCTCGGGACATCGTGTCCATACTCCAGTAGCAGAGTCGGCATCGCAGTGTGTCTGTCAAGCAAAGTACATCGCACATACTACAGTATTTTGGCCATGTCTTTAGATGGAATAGCGACTCCTTAGAGCGGCTGGTAATGCAGGTAAAAGGTGCTACAGGCAAGCTTTCGACGGCTTACTTTTAAGCTAGGGGCATCCTTTAGGGGAATATAATGATGGTGATTAATTACACTACTGCATTGCACCAATGATATTGAAATATTTGGGTAAGGAATATTGCTTTACACAACTTAAAGCTTGAAGAGAACATTAAAAGCTGATTTTGAAGTATTATCATGAAATAATGAAGGTATAACTTATTTTCATGGAACTAAATTTTGTCAGCATATTATGATATTTTTCTACCAATGAAGAACTCATACTGTTTCTGCCCACTTCCTTAATTATTAGTATCTCTGTAAAACTTAATTTCTAGTTCATCTACTCAGACATTTCCCCACCACCCAAAATTAGACTGGAAGAAAATGCCAGTTATTTGTGCCAAAAGAATAAATAAGTTTTTTTTTTTGAGGATGAGAGTTATATATGATATCTGTTTACTTCATAGGTAATTCATTCTTGGTTAGTTGAGTGGTTACTTTAAGTGTAAAAGCATAAACAAAACCAGTATTTTTATGTTATAACTAATGTGACTAATCTATATATATATATATATAAGAGATTTCCATGTATATAGTCACTCATCACAATATCTCTGGAACCATTTAAGCTAAAGACTTGAAATTTGGTAGAAATATTATTTTCACCGAGTAAAGGTCAGCTAAGAACGGATTTCACGAAATTCAAAAAAATATATTTAAATAATGTAAATAGCAAAACAATGTTTGCAGGGTCAGCTAGTAATGACATAAATGATTAATAATCACTATTGCCAGAACACGATTTTAAAGACTGGGCAGTTGGATGTTGGAAGCTAAAACTGTAACTGTGGAGATTGGTCACTGCGTTGATGGATTAAGGTGGTGACTTAAGCTCCAACTGGTTCCTGGTGCAAAGGATGTCCAGCCGCAATCCAGTGAGACAATGCTGGCAGTATCATGGGCACCTTTGATGCGGGACGGGTTATATTATGATTTGACTTAATTGTATTGTTATTATTCATGAATATAGTATTGTTATGTTTTATGTAAATAAATTTGAACATGAATTAATATAAAAAGTCAAAACCTGATGGTGGTCAAGGTATCCCTTTTCAACTTCTTCACAGAGCTGCAATGCTTGTTCCAGCTTCTCTGCCAGTATTGGTAGACCTGCTTCACCACTCTTTTTTATTTTCTCTACTTGACTGTCTTTTATGTCTGTTAATTTTTCAAGAATTGCAAACAAATTTTCAACTTCTCTATCACCACGCTTCTCCTGTCAGTATTTGAAAATAAAAATTAATCATTCAAAATTATTGAAATTAATAAAAAGCATAACATAGTGTGATTCTCAATATATTTAATATTTTTATGAAACAATGTAGAGGCATAACTGGAGAAGTTAAGTTTTTGTTTTATTAGGTAGACTACATTTGAACCCACATTAGTACTCTACTGTTAAGTGTGTTGGTGGCGGAAGTAAAAAAAACGATTTCTGAAGAATAAAGTATTGACTGATTTAACATTAACATGAGCAAAGCACCACAGAAATGCTGGTATGAAAGATGTAATGATTAATAACTAAACTAACTAACTAAAATTTTGTTCTTTGAGATATTCTCTGAGAATCACTATTGACATTTAAATCAATTGAACGTTTCACCTCGAACTCTTTCAACATAAACTTTATTTCTCCATTTAGGAATGGACGGTGGTCGAAAAGTCTTGACCAGATTTCTCCTATCTCTGAAACAAATATTTATGTATATTAAGTCGGGATTACAGTAGAAACCAAGGAGCATTAATTCATGAAGGCAATAAGAAAATGGAAAAGATTAAGGTACTAAGCAAAAAAGGTTCAGAAAATACTAAGGACATTTAAAATATAAATTGCGAGATGTGTTCAGTGTATTTTTCTCACTTCTATTAAAAAAATAAAAATAAACATACAATGCGTTAACAAACTTAATTAAGTTAATATATTAGCTAAATTCCAGGATCAACTAATACACACCTCGTGACAGCTCCGTCATTATGAAATTTTATAGTTCAACTTGTTCGTTCTCCAAAACCTTTCATTCAATGTTTTAGACATTTGAACACGTATGACTTCCGACTTACGTTTGGATATTCTTGATAGTTGAAATTATTTTTAGATCTTTATATTAAGAATTTTAAAACTATCAAAGAAACTCAAAACAAAGAGTTATAAGTATGAATTACCCACAATAAAAAACCTGTCCTGAACTAAATCCAAAACTTTACTGAGTGCGATACTCAATTCTTCAAAAATAAAATTTTAACTGATTTCATAGTTGAAATCTAGGGAAACTCGAACTATTCTTACTAAACCGTGAATTATTTTTTAGTAACCTACTATTGTCCAATATTGTCTAGCAGTAGACTATTAAAGGCTGTTGATGATGAACATTATACAGTATAGGATTATTTTTTTTTAATTTCACGATCAATGCCTAGCATTATGTCGTCTCCTCATGCTGTTATGTTCGAGTAGCAGTAGGTGTTGTTTTGCATTTTTTTCCAAGTGTCATCGTTTGAACTAATTGGTCAAAGACAAGGCTCTCGGAAAGATCTACCGGCCTCGTTATGGCCGCCACTATTTACGAGCCATGATACTTCTTCCCAATACATCGTATCGTATCAGACACTTATAGACTGATGAGCGCTCAGCAACGCTTCCCATAATTTACGAGATTTTGTAAATACTCGGACTTGATTTTGATTTTTGTTAACGATGTTGGTAAGATGGATTTTAAGATGTTAGTGAAGAGTTTGTCCCGTTGATTTTATTGTCTTTAGTTATTATCTTTCCTGATTTTAATCATCTCGCTTGCCTTTTTATATATTACAGTGATAATCTCGATACTTTCACAAAGTATACACATCATTCGAATCAAAAGTTCATAAATTAATTGTAATTTTTCTAATTATTTGTAATAGTTCCAATATATCATCTAGCAAAGTTATCACTAAGACAAAATAAATGTGCCTACACTTTTAACTTAAAGGGTTTTTCTTGTTTAGTTAAGAAGTTTCTATGACCGTCTTCTGGCTCCATCATCAGAACAGTTTCATGGTACCATATTATTGTATTTTTCTGAAGATATGCATATACAACAAGTTTGAGACCATGCGGATATCGTGGAATAGTTTTAATTTAGCTTCAAAAACTTGTGTAAAACACACGTAAATACAAATATTGCAAGTTAATAAAAGGGAAAATTACCATGAAATTTTCATTAAAACTTTATTAATGATAACTTTTTAGGTGCTAGTGTAAAAACAACTATCCCGTACTATTAGTATTTATTTTGAAATCCTTTTTTGTGATAATTGACATTTACTATAAACAAACAAACTTTTCAGTACTTTAAACTCCATTATAATAAACCAAAACAATTAATAGATTTCTTTCGTTCAGGAAAATCCTTTAAAACCATATTATTGCAGCTGTTATTAATATTTGTTTGAGGAGTAGCTTCATTTTACAAAGTGATTCAATAGTTTGTCGGTAAATGTCGAATTTTCAGTAACTTGAGTATATTGATAAAAACATGTAGTTTTAACATTTAATTATGTCAATATCTTCAAGCTAATATTTATATTTATAGAAATTCACTATTAAGATACATCTCTGAACACTAAAAAAAGGGATTAATTTATCTTACGTCAACTTTTTAAAATTACTTAGTGTGAACCGTGCAATTCTTGAGTTAACTTTTTTTTATCTTAACGAAATGCGCAAATCCGAACATAACTCGACTTCCGGACGTGGTGATCTAAAACAAGACTTATAGTTCACTCGTTCGGTATTCTAATTATCTTGTGGATTTAAAAACTCCTTCGTTCATTGGTCTTCAGTCTTCAATCAATTTAGTAACTTCATTCACTTTGTTAAGAATGGGCGGTTCGTGAGTTGACGTACTAAGATTCGATATTGTTTTTATTTGCGCAGAAGTGTTTTGCTGGTGACAATGTGTTCGATTTGTATTTCGGTGTTCATTAATTTGGTGTGATTTTTTAACTATAGTCGAATGTGAGGTTTGGGACTTTAAACAGTGAAGCTTCGTGTTTTGGCCGTCATGCCGGGTCTTATTGGTATTGGTGAATTCATCGAGGAAACTCGAGAGGATTACAGTTCACCTACAACCTCGACTTTTGTTTCTCGTATGCCACAATGTCGTCAAACCATCAGTGCTTTAGAGGAGGTAATTTTTACGTGAAATATTTTGATTTCGTCCATATTACGTTTATTGTTTTCAATTCTTGAAAACAAAGATTTAATCATTAAAGACAACCGACCAAGAGCCAATTGACTGGTGTAAAGAGGGTTCCTTACTATGAATTTGTACACACAATATTCAAAGATTTACCATGTTAATATCGCAGACATTCTAATTCTTGGTGTTCATATGTTCATCATGTAAAAAGCTATTTTCTATATTTTTTACTTAACAGGCTCAATAGTTTAGGAAAATGACACATTTTTGTTTTACGTTTATTAAAAAAAATGTATGCATCAAATTTTAAAAAATCGTGCCGATAGATTCGGAGAAATTGGGACTGACGCTGACGGTTAGACAGACACAAGAAAGAAATCCTATAAGGGCTCTGTTGTTTTATTTTTAACGCACGGAACCCTAAAAAAATGAACTATAAACAAAGGTCAAATAATTAAAACGGTTGACAACAAACCTGTCTCCCAATAAAAAAATATACCTACCTAAATAGCAAAAGGTAAATAGTACAAATAATTTTTGCGTTATATAAATAGATCTTTGCCAATTACTCAACAGAGTCAGCCTGTGATATTTTATTAATTATCGTATCTACGTGTTTTGCATACTAAATATTTTAATATAATACATTTCAGATTTCATATACATTAGATTTGATAAACATATTCTTTGTTAAAGTACATAAATATCGAGCTTATTTGTATATTCAGGATACATGAATTTGCCAGGGGTCTAGAAAGTCGTCGGGGTACCAGCGCTTTGCGTTCTAGGATATACCTGGTTCCCCGGCTACTGGTACCTGGAGACGGCGTACGGTTTTTGGTCGGTTCGAGTCCGTCATAATCACACGTGGGTGGTATCCGAAGAAAGTAGGAAAAAAAAAACAGGCGACTAGATAGTAGGCCCTCTGCGATCTAGTTATGCAAAAAACTATAACACTAGCATTTGCTTGCGGCTTCGTTCGCTGAAAAGGAATATTTCCATGCCTCGGGAATATGTTGTAACAATCTGTATGTGTAAAAATTTCACGATGATCGGATAAACGATATGGCAGCGCATAAAACATGTACAAACAAAAATTGATTTTTATTACAATCCTGATAACACGTAGGTATTTACTGCTTACGCTACATATATATACCTACTTATAAGCCGACGGTTTCCTTATATTATATTAATATTTCCTTATTACCATTTAAAAGATCTTACAAAAAAGGTTTGTTTTACACTGACTGAATTTGAGCACCCTGTTTTGACTTTTTGTTCACTATAATTTATTTCTTTACCGCAAAAAGGAGTGTTGTAATGCACTTTCGGAATTCTATGACCTAACTGTAGATGCAATTTTTTTTATTGAGAAACTCTAAGAAGAAGGATGCATGTACATGCTTTCCATCTAAGGGTGCGATGACGTGTTTCAATTACTGTCTTTGGTGTTTGCTCCGTCCTAAGCTGTCCCTACGTCCTAGACCGATCTAAATTTCGTTTACTGAGTTTGAAAGGTGACGAGAGTGTTCTTAGCTATACATAATTGAAGAACACTAAACTTGTTCAGTCGTTCGAAAATTACCTGTTCCTCTTTAATCGTTGAAGGGATTTTAAGTAGGGGTATATTTATATTAATTGTGTCTGTATAAAGGTGTGTCTATAAAGTTAAAAGTACATGTGTTACGTACGTTTCACAAATCTTCACATCGATGAGTTCATTGTTTTGGTTTTTTCTTCTTCTGCATTTAGTTCTTACCTCGCCTGCCTTTTTGCCACGCACAATCAATCTGGGGAACAAATTGTCGCCCCCGGTGTTACCGGACTGAGAAAACTCCAAATCTTCAAGAAAAAAGCGTACTCCTACCCCAAAGGCCGGCGGAGTTTCAGGCGTTCATGTGCGGTAGAAGTCACTTTCTATCAGGTGACCCGTCAGGTCGTTTGTGCCCTATATCATAAAAAAACCTTATCGAGAGACACTACACGGCACTTGCCGTGGGCGTAACCTCTTAAATAGAAGCGGTAATGCGTTTTTAATTTCTTGCTTCAGAAAAATGTTCTGCCAAAATGGGAATTGCTTAATTTTTAGCTCTGATCTCTTTATCTTTGTGTGTTCTTCCAAGCGGAGTAGAGTGGGTTATATTATTATGTTGTAAGTCACAAATCTGCTCCATTTAGAGTACTGTACTCCATATGGTGTAGCTGGTATGTTTTTTTTAATAATAATATTATACCACATTCACACAACGCCATCTAGTCCCAAACTAAGCAGAGCTTGTACTATGAGTACTAGACAACTGATATAAAACATAATATATATACATTTTTTTGTAAATACATACTTATTATAGGACGTAGAAACACCAAGACCAAATCAAACATTAAATGTTCATGCACACAAATGTTTAACTTGAGCGGGAATCGAACCCGCGACCTTTAGAATAGCAGTCCGTTACACAAACCACTACACCATCCGACCGTCGTTTAAGCGGAACCACCTGACTAAGAGCCTTTTGACTTGGTACAAAGACGTGCTACGTGAATCATCACGATAATAAAGCTCACAAGCGATATCAAAGCCTTGAGAGACTTTCTTCTTATGGGTCTTCCATTGCTGGTAAAATGGGTTGTGCCCGTAAGAAATGAAATGATACCTACTTATTTTTGCACCTTGGAAGCTGAATTTACGTACGGTATAGTTCTAGAAGAATTTCATTTAAAGGACACCTGAACGTACAAGCATGTATATGCATGCGGATTAAACCATCTACCAATCCCACCTTCACCGTATTTGACGAAGGAAAAGTCTTTGTTCCAAGCAGTAAAGGAGCAGCAAGGCAATGTAAAAAATGATACTTGAAAACAATTATTGACACGAGGCCCTTCAACCTAACAGGTTAACAGGTTGAGATACGCTAAGAGATGAGATCGAAAATATATTATTTTTAGTTTGCAAAAACCAAGAATCATCACTGTAAGTGATACCTTACAAACTATTTATAAATTCATAATTCATAATTCATTCATAATTCATAATACTTTATTTGTGGAATATAGGTTAGTTACAGATCTTAAATGTTATGTTAAAGTTCCACTACATCCTACCACATTACGTGGTGTACAAATAATAAATCGAGAAAATAATAATTACAATTTAAATACATCACAAAAGAAAGAAGAAAAGACAATTTATGCGTCTACAAATATTGAGTCCAAATAATTACATAATAATTTTTCTGTACATATGTCAATTTTTAAATCATTGTTAGCATGCCAATATTAAAATAATTCTACATAATAATATATATTACATTATTTTGTCCTGGAAATATTCGTCAACAGAGTAATAAGCTTTCAATATTAAAAATTCTTTCAATTTATTTTTAAATGACTGTACATTTTCTGAATTTAGAATACATTTGGGCAGCTTGTTATAGATTTTAGGTGCCATGACAAATATGCTTTTGTGATATAGGGCGGTTTTAGCTTGAACCATATGTAGCTTACCAGCTCTGCGGTTACTTGACACCTTTGAAAATTTTGACCAGTTTCGTCTAACAAAAAGCGCACTTTCAAAAATATAAATGGATGGCATTGTGAGTAGTTTTAATTTTACAAAGTATGGTTTACATGTGTCAGTAGCCAAGATATTACATATTGCCCTTATGCAGCGTTTTTGAGACTTGAAAACTAATTCTTTACCCGCTGCATTGCCCCAAAATATAATTCCGTATCTTATCGTTGATGCGACCAAGCCATGATAGGCAGCGAGAATTGTGTCTTGGTTAACGGTTTTGTTTAGCATGTGTAGTGCATACGCATATTGGTTTAGTTTACCACACACCTTTTCAATTTGTGCATGCCACTTTAGAGTACTTTCAATTTGCAAACCCAAGAATGATGCTACTTTAATGTCAGTAATACTTTTATTGTCGTATTTAATGTTTATATCCATCGTATTATTTTCTTTTTGTCCAAAATTCATAATTGTCGTTTTACTTAAATTAATTTTAAGATTATTCAAATCAAGCCATCCCACCAGAGACATAATATTCTCTTCGATTACCGAACTGGTGGTATTAATATTATCGTTATTAAATACGACGGTGCTATCATCGGCAAACAGTACCATAGGAAATTTTGTCGCGGTTGGAAAGTCATTGATGTAGATGATAAACAGGAGAGGGCCTAGTGTACTTCCCTGTGGTACTCCATATTTAATTGTCCTAGTATTTGAACTGTAAGAAGTTTCAGTTTTAGTCTCACAGCATATTCTATCAATTACTGTAACTTGTTGGCGACTGGTAAGGTACGACTCAAGCAGTTTAGACACATTTCCTCGAACACCATAGGCATTTAATTTTTTTATTAGTATGCTGTGATTGACGTAATCAAATGCCTTCGTCATATCCATGTAAAGTGCTTGGACTGGCATTCGTTTGTCCATTCTAGTGATAATTACCTTCAGAAATTCATAAATAGCTACATCAATACATTTGTTTTTTCTAAATCCTTTCTGGTTGTCTGTAAACAGATTGTTCTTTTCAAAGTAATTATTTAAGCTGTTGTGTATCACTTTTTCAAAAACCTTTGACAGTATGGGTATTAAGGCAATTGGTCTGTAGGATTTCATGTTTTCCTTATCGTCTTTTTTAAACATTGGTTTTACTAGTGATATCTTTAGCTTTTCAGGATACACCCCCTGTGTGATACAGTTATTTATCAAATGACTTAGTATAGGTGAAATTGGTACCGACACCATTTTTAAAATTTTAGTACTGATACCGTCATATCCAGTGCTAGCTGTGTTTTTTAATTTGTGTATAATTTGGTGTATGTCCTGAGGAAGTGTAGGCTGCATAAACATAGATGAGGATTTGTTACAGAAATCGTAAAATTGCAATTGTGATTGTTTTGGTAAATTATTTGTTTCTACTAGATCCACATAGAAATCGTTAAACGCTTGTGCTATGTCAGAAGGGTTC